CAAATCTTGTCATTACAATAGAAACGCGGCCGTATCGAGTGCGGTCGTTTTGGCCTCAATTCCACAGTTCATCGTATTCTACGTGTGATATTGATTAGTTCAAACGCAAAGCTGCTTCTAAGCTTTTAAAATGTAGATCAACAAAGATGGCCATTCGTCGCAGAGCCTCATGCACTCCCTGAATTCTGAGGCACCATACATTTCCTAAAACGGCTAGCGTTTTCGGTGCTTAACCAACTTGCTCCCAACACCCCAATTATTCTTTATTGATGCTCGCAAGGCCGCAGTTTTTGTTCCTAGAAGTTTCACTCTATAGGATCCTCTTCATCTACTTCTCTCCTTTTCTCCACCAGTCTTCCAGATTATAGGTCTCCACTTGTTTCCACATAACCAGCTTCCCCTGCGGCAATGCAGTTATATCTAATTCGCCATGCCGAAACCGTGCATAACGTCGGAAAAGTCCTGTAAGAACTCGGATTTCTGAACGGGCATCTCCACTTGACTGACCTTGTGATAGGGCTGGCACCACTGACTCAGCACTGACCAACCATGGGATGGCTCAGATCAATTGCCTTGCACAGCATTTCGTCTCCAATTCAACCCAATTTATGACGGTGTTCTCTTCCGACTTAAGTCGAGCAAGAATTACAGCTGAGGGAGTTTGCCGTGCACAGGTTTTACCCTCTGGTGAAATACCCTTGCAACCGATATTGACTGGGAATTTAAGAGAGAAAGATTACGGATCGATGGAAGGCCGCTTTTGGAAAACCTCTCCTCCATTGCCAAGGCCTCAAGACTGGGTAACGCCCGAGTCAAAAGCATCAATGAGAAAGAGGGTTGAAAACTTTTTCGACGAGCACCTGCTCCCACTACTGATGTGTGACCCACACGGCCGACAAGATATCGCAATCGTGGCCCACGGCATTATCCTCCAAGAGCTATGGGCATATTTAATGGAGATCTCCAATTCAGCGGTCACCAAATCTGCTCTCGACTTTTGCGACACCAACTTGACTGCGCTTCATAGAAAGCCTGTTTGGTCAAACACCGGCTACATGACGATACTTATTACTCCCCACACAATTGAAAGGACTCTGCTGCCTACTGCCATGCCATGCTTCACGCTTGTTGTTCTGGGCATTGACGATACAAAACATCTTGCCAATCTCCATCGCACTAGGGGTGGGGTTGGAACTGCCGCACATGACACGAAACAAAGAAAGATCGATCAATTTTTCCGATAATCGACTGTACAACAGAGAATCTGTGGTTATGTACAAGCTCAACCATCTTCGTAATGGCCGAAATGTTTACTCCGTGTGAAATACTTCTTCCAAAGGCTTCCACCACCCTGGAACTTCAGCACTGCTCACGGCCCCGGGAACAAGGCTCTCCTAACGCCGAATTTTTAGGGTTAGCGTATGCATCTTTCCATTTGTGTTGAATTCTCAACCCACCTGCATCCCATCAGTCATGTTCCACCACTCTCTCATCTTTGACGAGGACCGCATGCTCTCCATATCAGCTTCGATGTCAGTGCCGACATACTTGAAAGTCGCGAAGAGAGTCCGGTCGTTGTCGAAGTAGATTGAGTCTGCACCGGCGCAAACATACCATGTCAGCCGGCTTCAACACATCTAGGTGGTCATACATATCGTTGAAGCACGCACAGTCTACGATATTACACTCCTTGATCTTTTGGAGGATCTCAGGCCAGACCTTGGCGTGGCACTCTTTATATGCTGCCACAGCAGAAGGCTTGAGGTGAACGATCTGGGCGAAGCGGCGGGGCTGAGGTTGAGCCATGGCGAGATCTTCAATAAAGAAGTCGAGTTTGGCTTCGAAAGTTTGGAATGGCTTTTACTAAATAAAAACCGAGGAAATCAACTCCTTGCATTATATACCCCTCTCTCGCTCGAGCTTCAACCCGCACTCGGCGTGCGCTAACCCGGGGAGAGCTTGGCATATTCCCCCACATGCATGGGGGCTGGTTGAATCAATACGGTCAAAATGCATCAGCAAACCTCTTGTGAATCATGATCCTATAGTTAGTACATACTTGGTGTAGATCGTAGATCCTATGTGGATGTCGTTGTAGTCCTCGTACTTTCGCTCTGGATCTACCTCTTGCGCCCCTCTCTTCCTAATCAATCATCGTGCCTTCTTCCCAACTCTCCTTTTTGTTCTCAGGATTTTAGGGTCCTGAATATTTTGATCTCGGCCTGCCTCTACCAGCAGCTGCTTGCCTGAATACTTACCTGAATAAGAACAATGACATCCATCACTCCCGAATTTACCTACTTTCAATCTCAGCCCGTCCACCGCTGGATATTGCGACGAATTTGGTCAACCTAGGTCAACAAGCCGCTAATAACCTTTGCCTAAAATGTTTCACCGCAAAAACGCGAAATTTAAGAATGTGCCTCGCCCGCAGGCATCTATTCAAAACAAGATCAAATGGAAGGTTCAGCACCTATCCCTTGTCAGGTAGTTTCTCCTTGGAGGGAATTGCGTATGGCCTCTGCAACGGCTGTGGCTATAGTAAACAAGGCAAATTTGAGTGTCTTCCAAAAACCATCTTTGTTTGCCTTGGTCAATGCTATTTGTAAGAAGCACGCCGAGGAGAATGCAAAGAGTGAGGAACGCGAATAAAGTTCGTAGAGCACTCTACTACTATTCACTTATCCCAGGCGCATAAATCGAATAGATGATCAAGTCCCTAGACATGAATTGGCATTTTTAAATGGGTGGACGAGATGCTTTGGGCCATGGCTAGGTAGCTATGTTGTAGGGGACCGGTATAGCCAAGAAATGCTCGGCTCGGCTCGCTTCCACCTAGTCTAGTTTCGTCACCGTCCATGTTAGGAAGGTAGACGGTAAGACAGTGACCCTCTATGATTTTTTTTTTGGCCTTTCTTTACTTTCAAAAAATGCTCCCGAGGTCTGATATCTGCATTTGTGTCTCTACAAACTATTTCCCATGACCGACGGAGCCGAAATCCAAAAGACAACCCAAGAGCGACCCATCTCCCCACAAGAGGACCACCTTTGAGTCTCAACCAGGCTTTATGTGCGTGTCCCCCCCTCCCCTTGAATCAGGGCTGGTATCCCCGGCCAGTTCCCGGGCAGGTGCATTTCACCTCTCCAGTTAGACAAACGTCTCAAACTGTCAGCCCAGTTACAATTCAGTAAGCTAGTGAAACCACTAGGGCTTCCATATGGAAAGTGAGTGTCCAATAGCCCGGCCACGAACACTACACACGGAGATGGTTCTATTTCTTAATGTGATGAACAGTCTTTTGGAATTTTAGAGGAAAGATGGAAGGTGAGATGTAGATAGAGATTCCGCCTCTATTTAGATGTTGATTATAACGTGTGTGCTGGAGGATGTATGTCAGATGTATGCTATGCCAAGGTATAACTCCGCGGGGGCTTCAATGGACAATTTAAAGCTTACTTTATCACACTATATCGAGTCTGGAAGTGAGATGTGGTGATCCATGGAGGCCAAGAATCCATATCTGTGATAAACGTGAGCTTCCTCATGGGATGCCGAGTCAACCTCGACAGGGACCGAAGAGAGATCTCAGCCTGGCGGATCCTTGCTTTGAATCTGCTGATCTGAGCTCCGCGGAAATCCTTCAGTCGAGTGGTTCTGGTCAATTGGTTCAGAGTCCAAAGGGCACACCCTGATGAGCCAAGATCTGGTATCGTCCCCCAAATTAGGGCTTCTTTTGGTCGAATACAGCAAGGGGTTTTCCTTTCTTTTTTGGACCGCCTTATGTGACAAGTTCTATCTCCACGGTACCAATGACCACTGAGATTAGAGATCTAGTCGTTGACTGTGCTAGGTTGCTCATCAGATACTGGCTTTAAACCCATCCAATGAAGAACCAGAGCCATCAATGATGACCTAGAGATAGACAAATTTATCTAATAGAAGATGCTACGCTTCCAAATTGCTGTCGATGATCTAGCTCCCTATCTGTAGTTTTGAAATCACCGTTTTTCACTCCCTGAAATACAAGATCTAGTATCTGAACAAGCCCTCTTATTAGCTTCTTGAAGCAATGTTCAATCGAGGTAATCTTCTATCATTTCCGGGGAGGAGAAAAAAAATAAAAGAAAACTTGTTGTAAAGCACCTGCAGTCTCACATTTGCTCCAACGGTCATTAAGCAACGCAACCTAACTTGATGCTCCCCTCACCCCAACCTGCTCCGCCATACAATTTCAAGCCTGACATGCGACATGAAGATTACCAGTCAATCGACTTAGCTGACTGTACCGGGTCACGAGTCAAGAAACCATCCAGAACTTTCTTTCCCTTCATACCCTTGAACTGCTTATCAACCTTGAGGAAAGGATCCTCCGCCTCCCCCCTACGGACTTTCCACTTCTTCGTCCCTAAAATCAAATCCAACTCCTTAATTGGCGGGAGTTGAATATAAACCCAGCCATCATCCCTCTCCTCAACAGGGAATGTAGCGATACTCATGCTCTCATCATTTGAGCACCGACCCGCCTGCTCACCGTTGAGCTCAAAGTTCCGCTTGTGATACGGACACGATAACCAATATTTCCCAGCATCGTCATCGCCAACAAGGCCATCAGACAGAACAAAGGCTCGCTTATGCGGACACATCTGCTGCGTTGCATAGAATTTACCCTTAATCTTGAAGACAGCAAGCTGCGTGTCGCCGCGCTTGACATTCGCCGATGAGACCCGCGGTGGCTCGTCAGAGAAACAATCTGCTCGGATAACCGGCTCCCACGAGACGCTTGACCACTTGTGACCTTTGAAATTCTCTCGTTCGGAGGTGTCCTTTGGCCAGTCTGTTGGCCGTTGCTGAGATCGTTCTTGGACAACTTCGACTGTGTCGACAGTCTCGTCCGTATTTGCAAATTGTTGAAAGACCTTTCGGCGCTTGGGGTCTTTGACGGTCTCGGTCCACTCGCAGAAATAACTGTCGACGAGTTCGTGCATTTGCCTTTCCATGTCGGCACAGAGTCCAAGTTTATCATCTACGATAACCTCTTTGAGGTACTTAATTCCGCCCGGGAGGGTTTCGATCCATCGTGCTGTTCGTTGGAGTTTATCGGCGGTACGGATGTAGAAAATCAGGTAGCGGTCGATGATGGGTATCACCATCTCCGCTGGTAGGTCCGCAACAAGAAGCTCGGCGTGTCTGGGCTTTGCGCCTCCGTTGCCTCCAACAAAGATGTTGAACCCACCTTCAGTGGCAATGAGTCCAAAGCTGGCAGTTATTAGCCCTGAGTACATTGAATATCGTGGGGTCTCCGTGAACGCACTCTTTATTTTGGGCCTCGGCACATTCTCGCACGCAACCAGATACAGCTCCCTTGAATTTGTGTGGGGCACGAATACTCTTGTATCGCTCTTCCAGTCGAATCGCCATGCCGACACTGTCACCGACACCGAAACGACACCATGTGGTTCCAACACAACTCTGAACGTTCACCGTCAGCGGGTTCTTTCTTGAGAATCATCTAGTGTAACGTACCTTAATTGCACGAAGAGCCTTTGCATAGGCGTGTCCACTCTCCATACCCGCATCCACCAGTTCCGTCCAGACGTTTAGAAGATCCGGCTTCTTTGCACCGAACATGTCTATGCGCTGGGCACCGGTGATCTTACAATAAAGACCGTATTTCTTGGCGACGGACCCGATCGCAATGAGTTTATCGGCCGTGATTTCACCACCGGGGATTCTGGGTACCACAGAGAAGGTGCCATCTCTTTGGATGTTGGCGAGGAACTTGTCATTTATTTCCTGCAAGTCATTGAAACCCTTGTCCATGATGTGGGGGTTGAACAGACTAGACAGAATGGATGCGATTGCGGGCTTGCACAGTTCGCAACCAAGGGACTCTGGGTTCTTTCCGACAGTTTTCATGATGTCGACGAAGGATTTCAATTGCTTGATGGCCACGAAGCCGTACAGATCGGCTCGGGAATAAGGGATATGTGAGCAGACTGAGCATGTTAGTGGCTTGTGCTAGTGCTGGGGCAAGCTGATACTACTTGCGGTTGTTGGACACCTCTTCTCCCATGTCGAGCATTGTTTTGTTGAAGATTGACTGAACAAGAGGCATGCAGCCACCACAACCTGTTCCTGCTTTTGTGCATGACTTGACTTGTGCCATGGTTTTGCATATACCGTTCTCCACACACTCGACCACATCGCCCTTGGTGACATTGTGGCATGAACAGATCTGGGTGCTGTCATTACTGCAGAGGTCTGTTAGAATCTGTTCCAAGTAGCAGAACTTGTGATACTCACAGGTCATCTGCATTTTCCTCCCCGCCATTCTGGGCACCAAGGATTAATTGACTGGGAGGAATGTCAAGTACTTTTTGGAGCTTAACCATCTGATTCAGCTTCAGATAGTCCTTGGTATCTCCGATCATCATGCCACCAAGCAAAAACTTGCCGTCCCCGGTGAACAAATATTTCTTGTACACTCCACTGAAGGGGTCTTTGTATATTAAGGCCTTGACAGGGGGTTCATCTCGTGGATGATTCCCTCCCAAGCCAGGGACAATGGAAGGCCGACGACCGGGAAGGAACTTCGGCCCATCTCTGTCGGCAAAGAAGTCACCGAAACTAGCGACGTCAATTCCGAGAAGCTTCAACTTCGTGCTGAGATCTGGTCGGTTGAAACTCCTAGGCGGTTTGTTTGGGTTGGTCAAATTGAAAGCGAGCACATCGGCCATCTCAATGCCCGGAGCAACGATTCCGAATATCTGGTTCTCCCAGCTTGCGCAGTCCCCGACAGCGTAGATATCCGGGATCGAGGTTTGCAGACTATGCAAGTTAGGTGGGGAATTGATTATCCACACAACTATGGATAGACGAACTTTTCATCGATCACAAATCCTCCACGCTCACCGCACTGAATTCCAATGTCTCGACCCAATTCATCTCGAGGTTGGACTCCAATCTAAACCCCAGTCAGCACATCCCACACCCGAAGAAAGCCAAGAAACTAGAACACATACCGCAAAGCAAATGCAACAACAGTCGATCCTCTCACCATCCTCAAAGGTAATGCCATCCACATTCTTCCCCTCGTCGGTATGAACCATCTTCACCCGTTTCTGATGGACGACATCAAGTCCCAACTCTCTGATCTTGCGAGTGACCAACGATCCTGCATCTCCATCGAGTTGTCGTGCTAGCACCCATTTATTGCGATCGATCAATTTGACGTTTCCGAAAGTCTTCAGATCTGTCATTGCCTTTGCAGCTTCCAACCCTAGAAGTCCACCTCCTACTGTAACAGCCGTTTCGCCTTTATGCTGAGCTGCAAAAACGATGAGGCGTTCCAAGTCCGAGATAGTTCGATATACAAAGACGCCTTTGGCATCGTGGCCGGGTGTGTGTGTTGGGAGAGTGGCATCGGATCCTGTTGCCAGGACGAGGATGTCATAGTCGATTGTGGTACCGGTGGAGGTTTGGACTGTTTTCGCCGTGGGGTTGATTGCTGTTACTCGTGTATTGAGGTGGTGATCGAAGGCTCGTTCTTCGAACGAGTCATACTAGTAACAATAGGGTTCTTCATCAGGTCCTATTGTTTTGGGGGGTTCCCTCTTGGATATTTGAAGGCTTACCCATTCTGTCGGATTAAGGTATAGATCCTCAATCTTGCGATGTTCGAAAAACGTCGAAAGTCCAACGCGGTTGTATGCTACGTGGGACTCTTCGCCAATGACAACAATGTCAACTTTTCGCTCTGTATCATGCTTGATAATTTTCTCACTGGTCATGGTTAGAAGGGTTCTGATGTTCGCTGTTGGAATCCTTCACATGAGGGAAATAGCCACCATTCCAAACCCAACTACGACAATCTTCTGGCGCTGGACCTGGTTCGCGGGACTGGAACTGCCATCAATGGGCCCCCCATATCGTAGGCCATCCAGCTCAGGCATGGCTGAGACTGAACAATGTTAGATGAGTATGATACAAGCGCGGACTACGGAACCCAGCAATTATGGGGATTGTTAGAGAACTAAATCCCTCGTTCTACTCCGATACTACAATGTGATCGGTGATACTATAGGCGAAGCCGTACAAATCAACCAATCGAGGCTAATCAGAGTGTGAAGTCGGAAATCACAGGAACGGTGCATGTCCTCTAACACTTTGATCTCCGCGGAGATGATGTTTTTCTGGTGGCTGTGATTGGCTGTTAGGGTAACGGGCTTATCTTGACCTCTCGAGATGAAAACAAACAAGAAATCTGACTTGGCTTGAAGTTCGGACTCTATGGAATGTAGATCAGAAGGGAGTTGAAGATCCGCGGAGATCCGAAGAGTCCTCTGCCGATGAGAGATTGGACATTGGACAACTGAGGGGTTTAGGCCTCCATGCTGCTGTTGGCAATGAAATGTGGATATTTGTACAATAGTACTGTTTCAGGTTATTCAACTCGGTTTTCTCGTTTTTACCCAATTGGTTATCTCATTCTGGAAACGATTTCGACTGTGCTCACTATATGCCATCAATTTGATAGCACAAGGTAGCGTAGGAGCCTCGCACCAGCACCGTCATGGCTAGCATAACCACCCAACCGATCACAGCAGAGACAATTTGTGTTAAGAAAGGACAAGTCACAGTCAAGGATATCATCTTAAGTCCAGCAGCGCCTGACATCCCACTTCCACCACCATCAAAGAGTCTCGTCGACATCTTGGATGTGGATAAAGGCACGCCGGATTACCATGTGCATCGCGATCCACGATTGATTCGGTTGACGGGAATTCATCCATTTAATGTGGAGCCGCCGTTGACAGCGTTGTATGATGAGGGTATAGTATCCATTCCCATCTGCGATACCGAAGCCGACAAGCTAAACCGAGAACTTAGGCTTTCTCACGTCCCCGGAACTATTCTTTGTTCGGAACCATGGAGCAGTGCCGCAGGTCCACGATGAAGATATTCCGGATTGGGAGATTAGCATAGAAGGGTGGGTGCGATCGAAATGATGTTTGCAGGGGCTTCGGGCAACTGATTGAGGGAACTAGGCTGGTTGAGAAGCCACGAGTCCTGACCTTCCGCGAGGTGCTTCAGAAGTATGATCAGATTACCGCACCTATTACACTCGTCTGTGCGGGCAACAGACGCAAAGAACAGAACACAGTCCGGAAGTCCAAGGGCTTCTCATGGGGTGCGGCTGGCTTATCGACGGCACTATTCACAGGTCCTATGATGGCGGATATTCTGCGTCGTGCAAAGCCACTTCGACAAGCAAAGTACGTCTGTATGGAGGGAGCTGATGCACTGGTGAGATTTCCCTTTATCAAGATTTGACGATGCCAGGAACCATCTCCGAGCTAAGAATGACACATCCCTTAGCCGAACGGATTTTACGGAACTTCGGTCAAACTGAACTGGGCCATGGACCCAAATCGAGGAATCATGTTGGCCCATAAGATGAACGGCGAAGATCTTAGGCCAGATCATGGCCGTCCTTTGAGGGCAGTGGTGCCAGGCCAAATTGGAGGTCGGAGCGTGAAGTGGTTGAAGAAGTTGGTTTTGACTGATGCCCCAAGCAATAATTGGTATCACATCAATGATAATCGAGTGCTCCCGTGAGTCTCATATTAAACATTCCTGCAGTGACCTCTGCTAATAGTGCCAGGACAATGGTAACACCGGAGATGTCAGCTCAGAATCGCAAGTGGTGGGCCGATGAGCGATATGCGATTTATGAACTGAGCGTGAATTCAGTGGCTGTGTATCCACGCCATGAGGAAGAAATCGATTTGTTAACAGCTGGACCTACGTATATAGCCAAGGGATATGCATACGCAGGCGGTGGTCGGAGGATCACAAGGGTTGAGATTTCTCTAGACAGAGGCAAATGTTCTTACACCCCGGACCTAACGGTAGAACGTGGCTAACAGCGCTGGTCCTCTAGCATGGCGCTTGTCCGATATAAAATACGCCGAAGATAGATACCGCAACTTTGACGGCGACCTGTTCGGCGGCAAGATTGACATGTGGTGGAGGGAAGCATCTTTCTGTTGGTCTTTCTGGTCATTGGAAGTCCCAGTGGTGGACCTAGAGACCAGCGACGCTATCCTAGTACGCGCAGTGGATGAGGCATTGAGCACTATGCCGCGTGACATGTACTGGTCTGTCTTGGGTATGATGAATAACCCATGGTTCAGGGTTACAATCACGAAACAAGGAAGTAAGTTGAAATTTGAGCATCCCACGGATCCAACTAAAGCCGGAGGGTGGATGGAAAGAGTCAAGAAGACTGGTGGTGACTTGCTCAATGGGAACTGGGGTGGAAGGGTTAAAGACGACAAGCCCGTCGAACCAGAACCTGTGAAGGAAATAAACATGAAGAAAGACGGCGTGAACCGGAAAATCGATTTGCAAGAACTGAAAGCCACTAGAAGCCGCGAGAAGCCATGGTTCGTTGTTAATGGCGAAGTGTATGATGGCACGGGCTTCCTCGAAGGCCACCCCGGAGGAGCGATCAGTATGACCTCTTCTGCTGGTTTGGATGTATCCGAGGACTTCCTGGAAATCCGTGAGTCAGAAACAAAAGATGATGAGACGATTACGCCGCTAACTTACTAACAGACAGTGAAACTGCCAAGGCCATGATGCCAGATTACCATATTGGCACACTAGACAAGGTATCTTTCGAAGCGCTGCAGGGTAGTTCAGCTGCTGGATCTGATGAGCCACACGAAGTGTTCCTTCAGTCCCGAACATGGAAAAGAGCCACTCTCACAGAGAAGAAAAAAGTATCCTGCGATACACAGGTTTTTGTCTTCGACCTAGAATATGAGAAGCAGGCTCTCGGTCTATCAATCGGCCAGCATCTGATGATCAAGGTCGAGGACCCATCAAATAATGAGGCCATCATCAGATCATACACTCCTATTTCAGACACAACCCTTTTGGGCAAGATGGAATTGCTCATAAAGGTCTACTATCCAATGGAAAACATCCCAGGAGGAAAAATGACCATGGCTCTCGACAAGCTTCCCGCAGGCTCAGAGATCGACTGCAAGGGCCCGGTAGGTCGATTTGAGTATCTCGGCAACGGCCGGGTTTCAATTGGAGGCAAAAAGCGCCAGCTCCGCTCGTTCAAGATGATATGCGGGGGAACGGGCATCACGCCAGTCTTCCAAGTTTTGCGGGCTGTTATGCAAGACACCAAAGACACCACGACATGTGTTGTGCTAGATGGAAACAGGCAGGAAGAAGATATACTGTGTCGTTCAGACCTCGATGCTTATGTGGAGACCGATAGCCGGAAATGCACTGTTGTGCATACATTGACCGAAGCATCTGATACCTGGGCTGGTCGCCGGGGCCGCATTTCTGAGGAACTGCTCGCGGAGTATGCAGCTCCAGAAGAGCAGAGTATGGTTCTAGTCTGTGGGCCTGGGCCCATGGAGCAGTCTGCTCGCGAAATTCTTCTCGCCCATGGTTGGGCAGAGTCAGATCTTCACTTCTTCTAATTTGGCGAGGCTTGGATTATGTCGATTTTGCACATAAGACTATTTTACAGTCGTAATGAATATAAAGCAGATAACAGGAGCGGAAGGACATAGGGGACGTTGGACTTTAATTGGAAACGGACTGAACTTTTGGAAGAATATCTATCGTCAACCACAAATTATTACTTGCCCAAGGAGGATGGATATATCGAAGTGACAGAGCTTCCAACAAAGTTCGAGTAGGTTGTTCTTCACACATTCTGAATGTGCAAAAACGCTTCCTCCAATCAATAGTAGTTCTTCATGTCTAGTCTAACCCGTAGATGCTCAAAGACGCTGGTTGGGTCTGTCCGCGACGAGAAGAATTCACCGGATCTGGTCATTGATTTTGAAGTGGCCTTCCCGGACTCCAGGCTACGAAGATAGTTGACAAAGGCGGATGTCTGTTTTCTAAAAGACTGGTACAGATGAAGAACGGCTCCTTCGCTTTCATTGCGCATCCCGATTCCATCTGCTCTTGAGAGAAGACCGAAGCCGAGAATAGTACCAAAAATGGATTCAAGCAGTTTGGCCGCTTGCGCATGGCGCTTGCTGAGGAATAACGCGAACAGCATCTGGTCAAGCATGTCTTCGTGATAATCGCGAAGTCGTGGTACCGAGTGCGCCGCTTCAATCGTACCGTCGATATCACCGCGGTTGAGGCAGTGCTCGATCTTAGTAAGTGTGCCTTGGAAACGTTGCCAGATAGATCCAATGCCAATATGGAAACAGTAATCACTGACCGCAAGCACAAAGTGCTGGGCATCCATTCTGAACTTTTGGTATACATCATGTGTGTCTCCTGGTAGAGATCCTCGAGCAGTAGAATCCCGGATAAGTCCTTTCACGGCAGAAACCATGCGTATCAAACGAAGCAAATGCTTGAAGAGAAGATCATACTTGTTTAAAGAGCGAGCAGTAATGAGGGATTGAAGGACTTCTGGCGGTGTGTACTGTAGACGAAGGAAGTCCAAAGCTTCTATTGCATTCGGATTTTTACATCCCTCGATTTCTTTGTCTGTCAGTTCTCGAATTCCGAAGCTCAGGCCGCCAGGCAATTCGTTATCCTTTCGAATGCGGGGTTTCTCATCATCCTCTGTGTTTGTGCAGCCAAAGTAACAATCTCCTAGCAGGCCGATCAACACGAGTCGCAACTCTGAACTAGCTGGCGGCCATGTGTCACGACTGCCGAGTCGTAAACCGGTGCCAACACCACTGCGCACTTTCCCAGCCTTTCGCTCTCCACTTTCCATCTCCGGGTCAAATAGGGAGTTAGAAAGGCGGGCGACAAATGAGCCCTCTCCCAGCAACTGGAAACGCCATTGCATGTTCAAATGATGGCGAATTCGATGCTCTTTGAAGAGAAGGTGCAGGCAAGAGTAGTCAATGAGAAGTGCTTGTGACGAAAGAATAGGCGCAATAGACAGATGGAGGCCAGACATCAATTCAGGACCGAGGTGGGTTCCTTCACTGGTGTGGTCGATTTCAAATCCCCGGGCTTTGTCGAGCAGGTGCTTAAAATCATCTTTTGAAAGAGCCTTGTGATCGGTGACCGGCCCTGAAGCATTTTTTTCATCTAGATCGAAGAGTTCAAAGGCTGCCGTCGTAACTTCTGTCTCGGCGGTGTGACCGACATCCCGGGAGGCCACATTTGATGGTGAATCCTGCAAGTCGGCATCACCATCTTGATATCTCTTGATCTCAGCACGGAGAATTGACTCGTACTCCTGAGCTTTTGTTTGAATATGCTCAATACCAGCCCAAGTGGTCGCACAATGCAGATGAAGACCACCAGTTCGGAAAAGAACATCAGGCCGTGCGATGGGATGTCGAGGGTGGGATCGTTTCAATAGTTGAAGACTTCGCCCACTTTCAAATATGGACCGGGCTTGGTCGGCCGGGATAAAAGACGGCATATGATCCGCTTGATACATGTGGTCGATTCGTGCTAGCCCAGTCTTGATCTTGGCAGCGTCATGAGTATCCAGTCGGACGAAGGTTTTGCCACTGGCCATTGATGCTGTGAGGGCAGTTTCTTCGGGTGTAAGCCCTATCCAATTCTCGATGAATTTGAACCATGGCCGAGTCACTCGGATCACAGTCTCATGCAGAAGGTTCTCCATCCAGCCAAACTTCTGGGCAAAAAATGCAGCACGTTCCACGACAATTGACATGGCTTGTGCGTCCGAGACGGCCTTTTGCGCAGCACCAACAACAGCTGCCAGTACACCTATTAAGTCTCCGCAGCGGTGAAACATTGCCTTTATTTGCAAGAGTGAGGCAATGCTTTTTGATTGATCAGAGATCTGCTGCTCAAGGTTGAAAATTATCACAGCAACCGTGCTGCTTAATGTGAACAAAGCAGAGAGTTTTCTGCATTTGGCTGGCGGGTCTTGTGCAAACAACCGCATACGCTGCATGTTGGTACCACATTGTGCCACATGTTCAATCACATTTTCCAGTACCATTGAGCTAGTACCAGAGACCCGGATATCCTTCAAATGCCTTTTGAATTCGTTGGTGCGTTGGTCGTAGCGAAAGAATGCAGAGCTCCAGCCGAGCCCGAGACGAAGCAGTGATCGAATGAACACATCTGTTCGGACCATTCGAGTTGGTAGGCCATGACTCTTTGCATTGTTTTGCTTTGACAAAGCTGCATCGAAGCCCTTTGCCCCGGATTCACTAAAGTAAACAGACACAGGCTCTTGAAAAGACCTGTGTTGATATCTCTCCCATGATTTCTGAGGGGATAGTTGGCCAGGATCATCCTGAAGTAAATCCAAAGACCAGATATCGTTGTCATCTCCTGAAATGTTCTTTAAAGAATCACACGTGGTATCAGATTCGCTGTCTATGGAGGGATTGATGGTCGAGTCGGAAGATGATTCGGGCTTTTCTAAGCCGGTAGGAAAGATATCCAGCTTCCACACAGGCTCGATCTTATCTGCGGGTTGTGGGCATATCTTAAAGCAAGATGTAGTATCATCTACATAAAATCTAGTGTTAATGAAGGTTCTTGGGAATCTGCAGTTGACACTTACCACTTAGAGTAGCGTTCCATGGTAGCGATCCCAATGGCTGCAAAGCTTCTATACTGAATTTGGAGAGTCTCCAGAGGCTTTCACTGGAGAAAGGATCCAGCTCATGATCACAATCCATAGTGAGACCATGCTCAGATGAGCCAGATGCTTGACGTGTGAAAGTTCCAAGGTTCCGCGACGGAGATGGTTATCGCCATGCACAGACCCTTGATAACAGAAAGTGCCCTCACCCGGCTCAAAGCTCAACCATTAGCTCCCCTCTCCAATTCAATCGTTTCTACTTCCTGCAATCCTCGGATATTGCACCTTAGCTAAAATGCCTCCCAAAAAAAAAACTAAGCGTGCGCACTCGCCCACACCCCAAGATGATACCATGGCGGAGTCGAGCGCAAGCACCCCGTCAAGCGACAGCGCCGGCAAGTCGGACACAGAATACGATCTCATCACAGATCCCTGGACAGATGAGCAAGAAACTGCGCTATTAAAAGCGATCATAAAATGGAAACCGGTCGGTGAGTTCAATCCCACCTCTGTTGAGTCGACAACGCAGCTAATCGTCTGGCCCTGTAGGCCTACACAAACACTTCCGGATGCTCGCAATCTCGGATTACTTGAAGAGCCAAGGATACGCACCATCCACCGCGGAACATATGCGAATTCCAGGCATCTGGAAAAAACTAGGCTCATTATACAATCTGGAAGCCCTTGACGAGCGGGTAAGCGCTGATCGTTGTTTCGAGCACGCTGGTTCATTTTGCTGATTGAAAATACCTTTACAGGAAGATTCAGTTATTACCGATATCAATGAAGACGATGAAGGATCGAGCGAAATGTATTGCACGTTCGAGCTCCCTTATGACGAGTACGGCGAGATGATGTTTGAAAGGCGGCTTGCGATGGAAGAATCATTGTCGCCCGTCACTAGTCGTGCTAGTCGTGCGGGTGGATCGCGGCGAGGAAGTACAGTCGCGGATACAGATGGTAAGGAGCGATCTATCTTACAATCTGGTCTACAACCCACAAGCTAACCTCTTGCCCACCACAACAGAACCACGGTCTTCTCCTGCCCCATCTCGAGGTCGTAAATCCCGTCCCTCCACCCGCGGAACACGCTCAACTCGGCTTCAGGTAGAAATCGGCCCAGGGAGTCAAGGGAAGGTATCAGACGAAGGGGGAGATTCGGCAGAAGACACTGGAGCAAATGATGAGGACGACGAGGAGGGCGAAGAAGGCGAGGAGGGCGATAGCGACGAAGATGAGGGCGAGGGCGAAAAAGGTGGTTCGCGGAGCACTCGAGCGCAGACAACTCGATCCAAAGCCAAAGATCACAGGCCCTCGACTAGCGCTGCGATACGCAGGACTGCCCGACGGCGTTAACATGACCAAGTTTTTGATATGGGGTTTGAACTTTGATACCTACGGAGTCTGGAACTGGCGGTCTCTTTTTTTTAGTGATTTGTTTGAATATACAGACATCCTTCATCCAATTGATGCAGTGGCAGAACAAATCAATCTACAATACAGATCTACTCAGATCTACCAAGGAATGACCAAAAGGGGTTCGAGGTTGTTTGAGAAACAGGCGCCTCCAACCAAAAGTAGGTATATTCGATCGCTATGGGTCTAAAGTCGTTCGAAGGGCACAAAGGGAATAGATCAGGGGGTCATAGTATATGGAATCTCAGCAGCGCTTGTTTTACAGGCGCTTGATGATAGCCGCAGCGTACTCGTGGGTCTTGGACTTTCCGCCAAGATCACCGGTGAGGGTCTAAAGGTCACAAGATCAGTACTGCGCGATAAATGTAGGAATTGAAAACTCACCTTGCCCTCGGCAAGAGTATCGAAGATGGCCTTCTGGATGCGGTTGGCGTGTTCGTGGAGACCCATGTGCTGCAGCATCATGATACTGCTAAGAAGCATAGCAGTGGGGTTGGCGAGGCCCTTGCCGGCAATATCGGGGGCAGAGCCGTGGACGGCCTCGAAGATGGAACACTCGTCACCAATGTTACCGGAGGGGGTAAGACCGAGACCACCGATCAGACCGGCGCACATGTCGGACAGAATGTCACCGTACAGGTTGGGCATAACGAGGACCTTGTCGTTGTAAGGGGTAGGGTCGGTGACGATGCGCAGGCATGAGTTGTCCAGCAGCTCAGCGTCGAACTCGATATCAGGGAATTCCTTAGCGATCTCACGAGCGGTGTTGAGGAACAGACCGTCGGACATCTTCATGATAGTGGCCTTGTGGACAACGCGGACCTTCTTCTTGTTGATTGACTGAGCGTACTGGAAAGCGAAACGGAGAACACGCTCGGAAGCTTCGCGGGTGATGAGCTTGATGCTCTGCACGACACCGTCAACGACAACGTGCTCAATACCAGAGTATTCACCCTCGGTGTTCTCACGGATGAGAACAGTGTCGACATTGTCGTAGGGGGTCTTGTAGCCAGCAATGGAGCGGCAAGGACGCAGGTTGGCGAAAAGGTTGAAAGTACGGCGGAGAGTCAGGTTCAGGGAGACGTGACCCTTGCCAACGGGGGTCTAGAAAAGCGAGATTTAGTATCGAAGTCCAGATGAAAGATACAAATGGACATTTTAAAAGCCGGAACATACAGCGAGAGGACCCTTGAGAGCGACGTAGTTCCGGCGCACACTGGCAATGGCATCATCGGGAATGGCGGTCTTGCCATCCTTCAAGATGGGGGTGACATCAACAGATTCCCATTTGATGGGGGCCTATGATTGAATTAGCAATTTGGTCGAGTTGGGGAGATGATATTTTGAGGAATCGCTACCTTTGCGGCCTCGAAGATGTCCTTGATGGACTGAGAAATCTCAGGACCAATACCGTCACCCTCAATCAGAGTCACAGTGTACTTGCCCTATTTCAAAATATCAGTTAGTATTGTCATAAGTATACACAAGTTGTTGTTCTCGGTTTATGGTCGATGTGCGCTGCGCGGCTGGCACCGGCATAGATGGAAAAAAACCGGGTCTGGTGGGAGAAAAACGTACATCAGGGCCTTTCTGACCCTTGAACTTGGCAACTGCCTCCTGTACTGGGCTAGCGTAGAAGCGGACCTATTTAAATGATCGAAATTTAGTCAATTGAGCTTCGAGAGGGACCGAGTGTCTTGAGGGAAGCGGCACCTGCGCGATGGGAGCAGCAAATCGGGGGGCCACGCGGGACGGGCGCATGCACTGGCGAGCGACAGAGAAATTCCGAGCAGCAATCATCTTGAAAGAACCCTTCAATATCGTAGGGAGAAGATTAGAGGTGGTGAGGGGGAGGGATGAAAGAAGGAGAAGGGGAGAAAGAATCAAATCTCTCGGCGCCGCACCGATCCGACCAGCCCTCAGACCGCATTGGTGGTTTCTTTTCCCCCCCCCCGGCCCGAGTCCACTTTTACCTAGTGTCCACTCTTGACTACCAGCTGTAAGGGCTCAGCACTTGATTAGGGTTCTGCTATCAGATCTCGGTCACCCGCAGAAAGGGGTTTTTTTTTGTATTTCAATTCGCCCTAGCTACTGCACTCCACCTGGCAATCATGGCGGACCTCGATGTCGCAAGCCACTACAACCTACCCTCCGAGTTCCCCGAGGAATGGCCGGCATCTTTAGACGTGGACGATGAGCCAGAAGAACAGCCAGTGCAGCGAACAGACTCCCGTCCTCGCAAGTCTCGATACATAGCTCTCGAACGCAGTACCAGTGATTGGAGAAGCAACTTTGGTTCACGGAGAGGAAAGGAGGGGAGAGATAAGGCGCGGGAAGACGAGCCCGACCCCTTAGGTATAAACGACAGCGTTCTTCGGACTCTTAAACAGCGAGGCGTCCCCTTGGAAGAAGATGGAAAATCACGGTTCCTGCTGTCGTCGACATCATTCTCGCCCGCACTATTCCTATCACAGGCGCATCATTCAGCCTCCATTGAATCGCTGACGGGCGGCCTGGATAATCTATCGCATTCCATCGACCAGAAGTCTGCGTCGCTGAAAGTACTCGTTGAAGCCAATTTTGAGCGTTTTGTGCGTGCCAAGGCAACTATCGATAGCGTCTACACCGAGATGAGAAACCAGGGTGTTGAGAAACAACATAGTATGAGCCCCCGCAGGTCGGGACATTTCCGAAATTATTCGGGTCAGCAACGGAGCTCATCTCCAGCCCCAGTGGTCCCCAAGAAGACCGCTCTTGTCAAGGAGAGCGAGTTCGGAATGAAAGGTATTAGAGGTCCTTTAGTTGAGGCTTCTGTCAAGGCCGAAGAGGTGTGGGGACCGGCTCTTGGGGGTCGTGAACGAGAGAACGTTCTAAAGTCAGTGGTTGAGACTATGGAGAAACATCGCGAGGTCTATGAGATTGGAAGTAAACTGTCCAAGTCCATCCAACAACGAGATTACGATGCTGTCTTTGAGCAGTATACCATAGCAAGGACACTCGCCAATCGCGCAAAAGAAATCGCAGAGCAGGCCTCAAGTTCCCACCGGCAACTGAACGACTCCGAGACACACACCATTCTTGCCATGGGCCGCATGTGGGTAGACGTCGACCAACAAATCCACGACTTTAAGCGTGATCTCTGGAAACGTCTTGCTGACGCCCCCACTACATCAACTACAAGCACCGCCTCAGGGCCTGTCGAAGAGCACATGGAGTTGATTGGGGCCTTGTTGGAATTGGGTGTTGAGGACAACCCTATCTTGACTTGGCTTCGGAGTCGTGAAGAATTCTTGAAGACAAAGATAACCGGATTCTGCGACCGATGCAAGGTCGAAATTGAAATTTTAAGAAGAAGACTCGCTGGTGGAGAGAGACCAACTTCTCAAGCTGCAGCATCCTATCTCCGCCTGGCACCTCGTGATGGTGTGGTAGAAGTTCCAGGGATACTAGACACGGATCAAGTCATTGAGCTGTGGGAATGTATGCAAACGTTCCTAACCCGACTTCTATCCTCCCAAAACGGCTTGCTGGGCGAGGTGTTGGATTTCTGGGAAGTCGCACAATCATTTATTGATGGCAACCGACAACGGCTTTTGCCTGCTGGGTTTGAAGGGGAGAGTCGCAAACATCACCTTCTTTCCGACGACAAAATCAAGGAGCTAGAGAAGGGTGTTGTGGTGTTGGTCAATATCGTTCGAGAGAATGTCTTGGCCCTCTTTACGAAACCTCCAACGGAAGATATCTCTATCATCTTCACGCCAATTCCGGCAAGTCCATCAACTCCAGAGCCGAGAGGTGTTACTCCGACCGAGTCCCGCTTCAAGCTGGATCCGAGGAACCTACCATATCCTCCCCCAAAGCTTGGAGAGCATTGGGAGGATTTCGCTTTCTGGCCACCATTTTCCAATTCTCTTAGTGGAGTGCATTATCTGAGTAAATTCCTCATCACTGTGGGCACCGCCGCGAGCGAAATGGCAGCCCTAAGACCGATTGGCGGCGCTGGAAAAACCTATGACCTCTTGAAGACCCTAGTCAGTGTTGCCCGGGAACGCTGTGCACGTGTGGCTTGTGCTGCCTGGAGTAAAGATGCGGAGATCTGCAAAATGTTGGAAGACTGGAAACGCGATTCAGAGAAGCGTGACTTGACTAAGATGCCCGGGTTCTTTGTCGCTTTTGAGGGTGCTATCCTTGGGGGCATGCAAAAGATTCTATACATTTCGGAAGCCATGGCAAAGCCAGGTTCTGTGGATGTTGTCACCCAGCCGCCTGCGAAACTGCTTCAAATGGTCCGCTCTCAATTCGTATCGAGTGTTTACAAAGCGTTAAGCGGCCTGGTCGAAAACGCAGAACACCTTACAACAGTAGATGATAAGAACGAATGGGTTATTGCTCGGCCAGCAATGACAAGCCAAGCAACTGACGCTGTTTTGTCAGTTCTCTCGGCTGATTCGGTCGATTCCTGGAATCGGGTAAGTGTCGATCCAATTCGATGTGATACCTGCATAACTGACCGCAGAACAGAATGTTCGGATCCTTCTCACCCTTTCAAATCTCAAGGTTCTACAGGCCGATCATGTCCCACAGCTGATCTCGAACTTTGAGACATCCTTCTCAGTGAAGCTGACGGAAGAGGCCAAGACCGTCCGGGACATGCTCAGCCAGATTGAGGACAAGCTGTTCCAGTCATATATCACCCCGACGACAGCCTTACTAAGAAAAACAATTACTACGGGCATTGCATCTCCAGATTGGGAGCCGTCTGTTGACAGGCCGGAGCAAGTCCGCCCATACGTTTACAATGCCATGTTGACCATGGTCCTTGTCCACACAGAGATTTCCACAACTATTCCTTCTACGGTGTCACCAGGTGCTAGTCGCGCTGCGTCAAGTTCGCCTTCCTCGCTACTAGCCACTGTCTTGACACATCTCCTTTCTCAAATTTCTTCGTCCCTCCTTGATGCATTCCGTGCTCGGACCTCCTTCTCTCTCGCAGCTTTGATGCAAGCTACCTTGGACACCGAGTTCATTGCCCAGACTCTTTCAGCGTACATTACGGAGGAGGCATCAAATGTGCAAAGTCAGATCTACGTCGAGCTAGATTGTCGCACTACAAACGAAGCTCGCACAAAACTGAAGGCCGAACTAGGAGACATGCGAGTTACCTTGAAACGGCTCAGAGATCGGACGAAGGGCGAGTTTGCTTGTTTCAAAAAGCCGAGAAGCGGCGGAGGGAACTCCAAGCCTTCCGGTGCGGCCGCAATGTAGGATTAGCAAGACAGTTCTTTTAAATAATTAATTCTTGAATGCTTTGAACCTTTTAGTTTTTTTTTTTTTTTCCAACCGGGTATCATGAAAACGTAGTCCACGCCATATGTAGTAATTGCCTTTCCTCTCTAATTCTGACCAACCATCCGCTGCACGCGACTTAGCAGCGCGTTACTCTCTCTGCCTAATCTTCTCTTCCCAAACTGGTCCGGCCGCTTCGCGCGCAACAGTGCCTCCCGTTCCTTTTGTTTCGCCTCGCGATCCTTCTGTCGCGCTTCCTCCGCTTTCCTCCGCTTCTCTGCAAACTCCATCTCCCTTGAGAATGCAGAGGGCTTTGGCCGGCGCTCCCTCTGCTTGCCCTCGCCCTGTGGGCGCCTTTCTGGTCTAGGCGCAGGTGCCGGCTCAGCTTCAGGCTCGTTCAACATGGCTATGCGATCCGGGTGAAGTTCCAGAGTCGTTTTGTCTTCACCAGCCTTTGTATCTTCCTTGCCAGTTTCGATTTCGTCCCCCTCGGCGGTATCATACACGGATTTCTTAGGCGCGACGGCGAGTTCTTGGGCCTTGATTTTGGCATAGGCCTTCTTCACTTTGGCTTTGTGAATCAAGTCATTTTTGATCTTTTGAGCTGTTGGTGATTATTGGTTAGTCTCGTTCAAGGCATGACTGTTGGGCATGCTCACTCTTGCGGCGATATGTGCCATCTGGGAGGTTGGCGGGTCCAACGCTAAAACCCTTGCGCTTCTTGATTGCGGGCTCGCCCTTGGATGCTGGAGCACCATCGCCGTCGTGGGTACGTTTCGGTGCCATCTTAATTTTCAAGCAAAACAAATGCGTTTTGTCCTGGCGTGTGTTGAAATCGAAAGATTTTCGGAGAAGAAAAAAGAAAAGTGGCAATCTCCGCACGGAACATCGATTTCGGCCACTAGCAGCTCAGGGTGAACTATTGAACAGTACACTGTGGTTTTTTTTTTCCTCTTTTCAAGTTGTTTATGAAAGATGGAAATTATGTTGTATAGGCAACAATTATTGAAATTATCGTCTACAAAGTCATCCACAATATCTACAATCTCTTTGATCTCATCACTGATTATATCGTTATTTCTCTGCCTTCCTAACGGGTAGGTCGAAGCCTATCGGCCACTTTGTCTCGTCATCAGGGTCAATACCCAACACCAACTTCATTGCAAACCATACTCGGTCCTCCGGACTTGTGAGGAATGGCATACATTACCCCTACCCGACTTTGGGGCTGCCGTAGTGTAGATTAGTAGATTGGAAGACTGGCAAACGGGCGAATCCAGAGGTTTGCTTATATTGATTTCTTCGGAGCACTAATCGAACAGAAATGCAACATACGTCTCTTGATAAATATTGTATACAAGGAGCACGTGGTGTTGCTGCATTGAAGGAATAGGAGCGATAATCCAATTGCGCACACTTTGTTTAAATGATCATCTCGAAAGGAGGGAAAAACAGCAGGGTGATGAAATGATCTGATGTAGCAAATCAAAACGCGACTGAGACTCTCGGGCCTAAATTTGACCTGGAATTTATGACGATGAAGTCGAATTCAACCCTGAGTTACCTTATAACCCATTTGCTGTCATTCTCATTTCATGTACCCATTGCCACATTGACCTTATCAATTGGAGGAAAAGTTGCTGATTCTGTCCGCTACGGTTATTCTCTGCTTCTTCTAGCGAAGCTGTCGGAATGGTGACCTCACCCGCGCCTAACCATTTGCCTCTGTAATTATTAGCTTGGCCTCTTAAAAATAAATGTTAGACCGTCTTCCGTGAACACCTTGCGGGTCTCTTGGCTTCGTCTAATAAAGGCTAATGGTGGCAGCCCGAAATATGCCACTATCTGTTGGATGCCTCAGGCATCACATGTAGGATAGACCAACTAGATTGTGAAGCATATGACAACACATTGGACGCTTGCTGTCGAACGGTGCTGCTCGTAAAATGTTTGGGTTGAACTTGAAAAGGGATTTGCCGCTCCTAGACGCTGCAGTGTACTTTTGCGATGTCAAAGTGGTTTGGTGTTGCTATGTGGGATGCGAGAATCGAAGGACTGGCGGATTTTCAGGACTGAAGCTTCACTGGGAGCGGCTTTATATTAAAGACACGGGTGGTGGGGGGTGAAAGCGGAGGGAGACGTGTCGGTGGATTGACCCTCCTTCCTGTGTAGCGGGTCCTCACTCGGTGGTAATAGACCATTGGTTGAGGGCCTAAGTCGGCTGAAAGCATTGACAGCCTTGATTTTTATAGTTCCCTGTCGTACGTGCTAAGCTAGCTATTTGACCAGATGCTAAGCTAGATACCGAACTAGACACCCAACTAGATGCTTAACTAGGTGCTTAGGTAGGTGCTAAACATAACCCCTCCCCCCCCCATGTTATGGTAATGCCTGGGCGCACTCCCTTCCGCTCGGCCAAAAGACCATCATATACAGTAGAGCACATGGTTTATCTGTGACAGAACCCATCTCCTACTACAATGGCCTACTTAGCGAATTATAACCTCTCTTGAGTCCTGTGTACAGGGTGAATTTGTATACTGGGGATACACCACCATTTGTCGTCGGGAGCGGGCTCTGGGACGCAACCCCCCGCATAGCAGCATGTATGTAACAGCGAGCTAGATCGGGTTAATGAATTTATCATCATCATCATCACCTCTCTAGTTAAATGTTATGACCCATTATTAGGCTATAATATGTTATCTGCTAAAGTGCCAACACTACTGTGGTAATTAGGGCTATTATCTAATAGCTTATTACTATCTCTATTTAAGTTTATATCTAGCTATAATAGTCCTGTTTTCTCTTCTTACTCGGGTTGTCTATTTAACTTTAATACTGATATCTGTATCTCGTGAAGTCGATGTCGCAAATGAACTATGTGCGCTACTCTATATGTTGGTCCTGGGCATGTCAGAGCGAGAGCTCTGACATGCTCTGACATGATGGTCTTTTGGCCGAGCGGAAAGGAGTGCGCCCAGGCATAACCTTTACAATCGACCAATTCTTACTAGAATGAAGTTGTTTCTAGGACTCAATCCTTTATAGAAACCACCCCGGAATGCAAGTGTAATGATGAAAACTTCTTCTATGCTTCCACAACCCTTTGTGGTAGTGTGAATGTTGATATCCTTACCCTTGTACTCCGCATGCATGAAAGAATACCTACATAAAGAATTCCTGAGGCACTAAGTGGGGCCTTAGGTTGTAAAGGAAGGATAACTATCCTTTACACTAAGCCTATAAATAGGGGAGAATTGCATTTAGTAAATCTTCCTAAGTAGACCAATTCTCTATCTATCAAAAATTCGAATTCCAAAATGTTTACCACATGAATAGTGTAAAAAAAAACAGTTGAATACAGAGAGAGATATATATCTGGTGGGGTGCGGTGAAAACTGACTGTCGCATTGCTCAAAAGGTGCAACCAAGTGCTAATTCCTACACGTGTTGTGCGCCACTCGGTAGTGAAATACGTCACATGAATCATCCTTGTACACCGCAACCGACTTAACCCCCCCTCCCTCCCCACACATCACAGCTCGGCGCTGGTTCTAAAGGCTGTTATGTGGGTGGTCTCCTGAAATGTCACCTCCGGCGTTGAGGCCTTATAGTTTGCCCTTCTCACGCCACTATGCCCCTATTTCAAGATCAGAATCGGAGGCGTCATTTTCTTTGGTCACCCGACCATGGCAATCGTCAACAGCCGACCACAGGGTCCTCGCAACCCCAGCTAAATGATCTCAACCACCATGAGAAAGCTACTCCAGACATGGCAACCAACTCTATGGATTCAACGGAGTTGAGTCCGCCCAAGTCATGGGCGAATGACCGGGAGGAGCTCATACAACGTATCAAGGAATCTTCGCCTTGGAGACTTCAACGTTTGGTATGTGAATCTCTTCATTGACATGCAAGTAGATAATTTCCGGTTTTATTGTTTCCGCTATTTTTCTTCATCGTTTCATTCATAATTCAGCCCATCTCTCTCAAATATACATAGGCTAACATTAAAATAGTCCCTGGAGAGACACAACAATGATTTATTAAGCTCCCGAATTTCACCGGAGCAGTCACCAACAGCAGCAAAAAAGCAAGAAGACCACTCTCTTCACCAAAAACATCATACCAATGCAACAGAGCAACTGGGATCGCCGGCCGACATCCAGAGACCTCGATCCGCATTACACTCGGGTGACTTCAGGGAAGGCGCCACAGATCCCCATGGCTCACACGCTCCTGGATCTGCTTTTGCTGGGCCAAGTTCGGTTTCTCCATTTGCTCATTTAAGCTCCTCTCCCACTACTTCTTGGTTTGAAGCACCGGCTTTGCCACCCGGTTTGCAAAAGACAAGCGCATTGAATGATGATGATGATGTTGTGAATGCTTGCACGCGTGCACCGGAGGTGGGCTCATTCTCATCAAGTTACGTTCTGAAAGCTCCTACCAGTCCTCTAGTACATCAAGCAAATAACACAGACTTGGATTTTTCGTCCCGTGTCGACTATGTGGACGTTTCGGAGCCTCTGGTGAGGAAAAACCGTCGCCGTACTTTGCCACCAGAGACCTTTAGGAATCTCCAATTCTCCCTGCCAAGCAATCAAGTTCCCAACCTTGGCAGTCCATCTCCACCCGAACGGCAGCAGGATCTCTTCACCAATCAACAATCTTTGCCTCGCCGGCCGTTGTCTTCAGCATATAGTCTTCAACTCGCACCCTCTCCCGGGGGGCAGATCCTACCATCACGAGCACGAAGGCCGTCTTTTGTCTCTGATCTCTCGTCAAACCCCCACGCACCGATGGTGGGGTCTTACGAGGAGTGTATATTGCGTGGGAGGATGTCAATGAATCCTTCCAAGCCGTTGAATTTCACGGCTCAGATCGGTGTCCTGGGCAAGGGGAAATGCAAAAGCCATCTCAAATGCCCGCCACATGTTACAGTGCCATTTCCGGTTGTTTTCTACAGCTATCCCACCTCAGGGAGTGGCCGCTCAATCTCAGACGATAATCCAAGTCCCTATGTGGGACAAATTGACTTGGAAAATTCCCTTTCAAAAGAGACTCATAATACGACTAGACGTCGCAGGCGATATCCAAGCCCTACAGGACACTGTGAAGACACATCCGCTCCAGATGCAGCAAATGATACTCCTACGTGTGGTGCTGAGCCACGACGCCGTCGGGAAAAGAAGAATCACAGATCAGAATCGCCTAAATGTCCCCCAGGAGGGTCTTACCGGATTCCGCAACAAGGCCAATTGCAAATCATAATCAAGAACCCACACAAGACAGCGGTCAAGCTTTTCCTAGTTCCATACAACCTCGGTGATATGGAACCTGGCACAAAGACCTTCATTCGGCAACGCAGTTACTCGGCAGGTCCAATCATCGATATGCCGCTCAGTGCACGGAAAAATCTTGGGACCGATCGCCCCGAAGCTTCCTTGAATCCTACAGAAGATCCTCAAGAAAAACCTACGTTGCGATACCTCATTCATCTGAATATCTGTTGTCCTGCACGCGGTCGTTTTTATCTACATTCCACCATTCGTGTGGTATTCGCAAACCGCGTCCCGGATGGCAAGGAGAAACTACGGAATGAAATTCAAAATCCTGAACCTCGGTACAGTCCATACAAGCCCATCCGAGAGTCATCCATCTCGAGTGCTGCGAGTGCAAATGCGCGCCTGGGAATTGAAAAAACTTCCCACGGACGGAGTACGGGCGAGGTAGCGATCCCTCACCTCCATCCGCACGTGTCACCTCACAGCAAGTTTCCCTCACAAGACGTCCTAAGACCCATGGATGTTCCGGGTGGCCCTGAAAATGCTCCATCCTCGTCCAAACTGTCTCGGCACAACGAGTTCACTAAGGACGATGGGAATTACGGATGTCATCCAATCGGTTCAGAAGCTAGCGAGAGCCTACTCGCCAAGAGACTCCGAGGTCTTGATGTGCACAGGCCGGTATCCACAGTAGATGAACGATATCCACACAAATTAGGCTTCTATGATCGACCATCCCCCACCCACCACAACCGTCCTCGCTGAAAGAACCCAGCGCAACACACCCCAAGAACCTATACCTCGCCATACAGTATAAAAACAACACCACCCATCTCCCACGTTCAAATTGACCTGACTTGACATATAACCTCATTTTCTGTTTGAATCACTCTCAAAAGACAGCATAGAACAGCATGGCATTGGGCGTAACTGGTTTGGAACGGATCCCCTGCTTGCACTAACCCACGCATTAGCATCGAGTATTTTCATTCATTCTGATTCACGTCTAGGCGATGTGTGCATTTTTCTTATACATGATTTAGACATCCAGTTGATCTGTTTCCATTGCCTGTGGCTTATGGATATATTGGGAGAGGGTGCATGGGTCGTAAAATATGGCACCATGTTTCTTTTTTTAAAACGTTTCTCTCCGTGTGGTTCTGCTACTTACACTAAATTTGTCTGTCAGTTAGGGTAACCTGATGCATTTTGGATTGGTTACATGTATTTCGCTACTTGGACTGAGTTGCCGCCCAATTTTAATCTTCGTGTCTGCCACCCACTTGCATGAACAGCGGACATATATTGAGAAGGTTTGACAAAAAAAATTGAATGTGAACGAAAACTTGAGGTGAAAGTTTGTGGACTGTGTAAGAAAAGACGAGTTTTAAGTTCCTGCAATTTATATCTACAGAGCGCTAGATACAGCTACTAAGTTATCCAAAAGAACAATGGTCAAGTCACCCAAGGAAGAAGAAGACTATGTGATCTCGACCCGGCCGACATGATGTGTTGCTATTCGTTCGAGTCCACGAAACTAAAAGTTCCGAGTCCTCTTCAACCAAGAGCCTAGCTTACCCGGTATGCTCCACAATCTCGCTTACCAGCACGCCGTTCTTGATGTAGCTCTTGAACTGCTCGGGTAAAGGGCACTCCTTGGTATCTTCATCGGTGCCCTCCGGTGGCGGAAGGTTGATATTTACAGCGGAGGATTTGCTAGTGAAGATCTCAGTGTTGAGGCTTTGCGGGCCAAGATAAACAGCAGCACCATCAACCTGATCCAGCAGTAGAGTCGGGACCGTGCCATCGATCTGCACAGCGAACTTGGGGCACTTGATGATGTCAAGACTGCTGACCAGGGAGTCGACAATGAGGGAGAGACCGACGCAGTTGTCGATGGCAATGGCGTTGGCCTTGTTGGAGACCTTGATAATGGTATTGTTGCAGCGGGTAATGAGAATTGACTGGTTTTGCTGCGCGGGAATCTCGATGATCTCACCAGGGGCATCGAAGTTCTCGACGAGCCACTTGCTGCCCTCAAGCTCCCTGCGGGGCGGCTTGCGCGCACGCATGTTTTCGGGCTTGGGCTTTTTGTTAGGTGCTGGCGACTTGCCCTGCACGCCGCTAGAGCCATCGGATTCCGGGACGATTGATCCAGCACGTAGGCTGGGATTCTTGTGGGTCATCTGCGATTTGTCGACCTTGCGGAGAGTGGAGGTAATGCCCTCACCCTGGTTGAGTTGGTTGAAGACAGCGCCCATGTCTGCTGCCGGTGCTGCGGGGGCCGGAGCGGGTGGAATGCCAGGAGGCGGAGGTGGGGGAGGAGCACCGCCACCGGGGACATTGAGGGCTGGGATAGGAGGAGGGGGGGGAGGCGGAGGAGGGGCACTGCCACTGATCGGCGCAGGTCCGCCCTTGGCCTGCTTCAAAGCGTCCAAGGCATCAATGCCAGACTCATTGTTCCAGGTCAGACCCTGGGGGAAGTGTTTCTTGAGGTACACCGCAAGAGCCTTGAAGTTTTGATAGTAGGCTTTGATGTATTCGACATGTGCTGTTTCCCTGTCAAATTGTCAACATGAGGATTCCTTCCAAAGGTCATTGAGAGGAGTGCTCACTTGTCTTTGTACTCTTTCAGCACCTTATTTCCGTAGTATTCAATACCACCGATCATGTCAGTGACAAACTCCGCGGGCTTGCTTTCAAAGAACCAAGCAAGCGCGACAATACCTTCCGCAACAGCGCTCAGGTGGTTGAATAGCGGCGATGCTCTGTTAGATTCGCGAATATTGTTGATGCTATCAGATGCTTTGTGCAGATCCGTCATTAATTCCGGGGGTTGGGTATCAGGTTTCTTGGCCTTTGTCACAACGAAAAGATAGGTGCGTTCAGCTTGGAAGGCTCGAAGGACCGCTTTGGACTATAGATCCAATCAGCAACTACTCGCAGCAGACCACGTTCCCAGAATTTCTCCAAGAAAATACATACTTGCTCAGCAACCAGACCACCGATTTGCTCTCCCAGGTTGACAAAGTTCTGAACATCCCCCTTAATCAACGCATCGAAGTCCTGAATCTGTGGCGGAACCGGGGCGGCTACAGGGGCTGCGGGCGGAGGAGGGGAAGGCTTAGGGGGTGGTGGGATGGCGGATACGGAAGAAGGTGAGCCGGTCAAGGACTTTGGCGCACTAGAGTCATCGTACGACATCGCCATATCCTCCAAGCGTGAGGTCGCTGCCTCAAGCCTATAGATGAGTCCAATGTCAGTCAAGTGTGTCGGATGCAGTGGCTAAACAGCTTAGTGAGGATTAAACCGAGGGTAAAAACGCTACAAGTTAGACACTACTAGCATCATGAATACATACCGCTTGATGAGGGTGGTAAAATTATGCATATGTCCGCCGGAAGCCATGATGGGCAACACGTTGCTCCAACGATGGGGAGGGAAAGGTAAAAAGGGTGATTTGAGTAAGCTGAAATCAAGAAATTGTCGAAAATCAAAGTCCCCTGCTACTGAGTAGTAGTTAGGCCCTCGAGTTCCGAAAATAACAAACGGGATGATAGGGAGTGAAAAGAAGACAAACGTCGGAGCTCCTGAGGTTCGCTGTAGATGACGGCTCTAGACGTGGTATGGTATGTTACAGGGAGTTCTGTAGGTGGAAATGACGCTGCGGGGTATATTTGGTAATTATATTACCATCCGAGTCACGGTAATGCGATTGTCGAACCTCCCCCCCCCCCTCCCCAAACACTTGATCATTCGGTTGTTCTTTGTCTCCTTGAACAACCATCTTCTTTGTCGTATCTATGTTATATACATGGCCTTAGCTGCAAACATGGTGGCCCAAGCTCAGCCCACCGAGGTCGAGTTTTGCACCTTGGGAATGTTCATAATTGGTATGGTTTACTTCGAGCCTCAAAGTGGGATGTAAACTCACAGGTGCATTGCTATTTAGATGACATTGATTTCGGCGGCTCAAAAGCCGGTGTCAAGAATATCATCGGCGGTGCAGCGTCTTTTGCAGTCGTGGGTGCCCGCTTGGTCTCAGGCTCGAAGTATGCACGATCTGTAAGCTGGATCGTGGATGTTGGTTCTGATTTCCCTGCCGAGACGCTGGATGTAATCAGATCATGGAACACAGATTGTGTTATTAGAGAAGACCCTAGCAGGCTAACAACAAGAGCCTGGAATGGATATCATCCTGACGAGAAACGAGGTAAGTTTGCGGTGATATCTTGAAGATGCGCGGTGACTGACTGGGCAGACTTCAAATACTTGACTCCGAAATTAAGACTCGAGCCTGAAATGTTGTCTGATTCACAGGTGTGGTCTAAAACATTCCATATGGTCTGCTCTGCATCTCGTTGTGTGTCTATAGTGCATCATATTCTGCAGCGACGAGATGAATTGCAAAAGGCAGGGAAAGCCCCATCTGCCGCTCATGCCTTGAAGCGCCCTATCTTCGTCTGGGAGCCAGTTCCTGATCTCTGCACCCCCGAAGAACAAGACAAGTTCTTCGCCGCAAATAAAGTCGTGGATGTGGTAAGTCCTAACCATATGGAGCTCGGCATGATGTTTGAACATGTCGGCTGGACTGAGAAGAGCCATGCTGGCCAGCAGCTTGTTCAAAGAATTACAGACTCCGGCATTGGACCTGATGGAAATGGCATGCTGGTTATCAGGGCAGGAAAGGATGGTAGCTACGCCTACTCAAAGTCTGGCAAGATTTGGCTCCCTGCATATCATCAACCCGATGCCTCAGGTGCTACGCCTGTGATCGACCCTACGGGTGCGGGAAACTCTTTCCTTGGTGCCCTAGCCCAGAGCATGGTGTCTGAAGGCCGAGAGCCATTCCAAGCCGTTGGTTCTGTTCTATCGAACTCTGAAATTTGGAAGAAAGCCCTCGAGTCTTGGGGTGATTACCAACATTATCCTATGGCGCTTATTTGCGCAACCGTCGCCGCTGGCTTTGTGGTCGAGCAAATTGGTGTACCGCAGATCGAAGTTGTCGGAAAGGGAAAGGAATTGTGGAATCAGACTGAATTCACGGAACGTGTCCGCCTGTACACGCAGCGAGTATTGAGGACACTTGAAGAGGCTCCTCAGAGACATCTATTGGTCAATTGACCAATGGCCGAATAGGGAACGCCCTTGTAGTGTTGTACAGCACGCAAGTGATCAAATAGTAGAAAAACAAAAATAAAAGGTTCCGTCCTGCTGAGAATCCGACTACAAGCGCCATCTACTATGCTGGACCTTCTTCATAAGTCGTTCTTGGCAGTTTTTTGCGCCTCGTGTTCTCGAATTTGTCTGCTCCAGCTAAAGTTGAAGAAATGTAAAGGTCAGCATAAGGCATACCGAGTGACATGGGGTTCGGGTAACGGACTATCGGCTGGGGAAGAAACGGCCGGGCTCGGGCATCTTGTCGCGATGTTCGCGATCAGCGCTGATACTGAAGGCCACAGCAGCGACACCAATCACAAAGGCACCCATGATCGCAGTGTTGGCCCTCCAGTTAGCTGGCTGGGCGTACCAACCGCCAGAGGGGGACCAGACTTCCTTGGGGTACCTGCCAGGTCCATTAGCTCCTGGTAAGGGTTGTGAAAACCACGGGGACATACGGGATCTTTCCACCTCCACCCATTGTGACAAAGATGCAAGTGATGGGTTTGTTAGAAATATAAAGCGAGCGTAGGGCTGGTAGTTCTCAAAGGTAGAAGCCGAAAGGGCCGTCTCGGTCGCAGGTGTGATGCCAAGACGCTAAACCCGTATTTAGTTTAGCGCAACCTCACACGACTTGGCCATCCCGTGACTGCCGCAACAATTTCTCTTCTCCCTCGTTGATGGTATGTATGCTAACTGATTGCGTCGCGATTCTCCCTTCTGTACTTTGAATAATCTTTTCACGGCCCCCCGAATATCACAATAGCCCAAATGAAGAGACTGCAACTCCAAAGATGGAGCAGCTCAGTCCTTTCGCCGCGGGCTCGGACTGTTAACCGTCTGCATCAACACATCTACGGGCAACGGTATCAATCGACCGCTCTACCGGTCCAAACCCGTGATGATCAGACAACATCGATTTTTGAATCAGCGCCTCTGGATGACCAATTGACACAGATTGTCAAGGACTCCCACATCCGCCACTCGCAGCTCCAATATCCCTCTCCCCCAGTCGAAGCAGCTCGACAATCTGCAAAACTTGCCGCTCTCCACGCTCGACTCTACCTACCCTCCAGATTACCCATCGAGACACTTGCACGAACGCTAGTCGATGCATCAGCGGATCCGAACCCGAATTTCAACAATGCTTCGCTGGCCACTCTCGGTCACGACCTCCTTTCCTACTACGCAACCGAGCACCTTATTTGCACCTACCCTCGCCTGCCCTTGACCGTGATCTTCGCCGCCATGTATGCATACGCGGGGCCCAAGACTCTTGCCGCGATGGCACGAGAATGGGGTGTAGACTTGGCTGCGTTGCCCGGCGGTGAGGTCGATCCCGGTCTCTTGCAGTTCCAGAGGCTTGAGCCTGGCACCGAGCTTCCCTCGGGCCCGACCCACCCCACAACACGCCCATATGAAGCACAGAAGAACTGGAGGAAAACGGTCACTTCTAAGATTTTCTACGATGATGAATTCGGTGACCCGCTCAAGGGGATCAAGCAATCTGCAGCAGGTGTCACCACCGAGCAAGCAAGCGCCGAATTTGTCCGAGCTGTCATGGGCGCCATCTACTTGCACGCTGGCCGCGCCGCTGCCAAGCGATTCTTCGAACAACACTTCCTTTCACGACACCTCAACATTTCAGAATTGTTCAACTTCCAGGCGCCAGCCCGTGACTTGACCCGGTTGTGCGCTCGTGAGAGCTTCGAGCGTCCAGTCGCCAAGATCATCAGTGAGACTGGTCGTAAGAGTAGACACCCCGTCTTTGTGGTCGGTATCTTTTCTGGTCAGGATAAGCTTGGGGAGGGCGCTGGCGCCAGTCTGATGGAAGGCCGCGAGCGTGCTGCTGTGGCCGCGCTTAAGGGTTGGTATCTCTACAGCCCGCTTTCTGTGCGCGTTCCCAGTGCGATGGAGGAGCCATCGGCCGCGCCTTGGAAGCCGGTCCACGTTGACCTGGGTGAGGTCATTGTTTAAGGTGTCTGGTGCAATGAGATGCCTTGGTTCGAGGCACGCTAACATGTTATTTTATGTCCCTTTTTTTTGTCATCTCGCTTTTCTTTTTCCTGTGTGCTATTCTTTCGCATGGGAAGCTGGCCGGCGGTAAAAAGAGTCATCTATCCTGTCTCCTGCATGACTGGATCCTGTACATTATGGGAATTGTAATCCCTTCGATTCACCTGGTGTCTTTTTTTTCGAAATTTCCCTTACTGTTTTCTTCTCCTCTGTTTTTCTCTTCTCCAGTTAGACATCGGGCAAAACTAAGCATGCTGTGGCCTTCGTTTTGGCTTTGCCATCCAAACATAGAACTGCTCTCAGATATCTATTGAATGCATACAAAATCAAGATTAATGGAAGTCCTCTAGTCTTATGATCAAGCTAGTAATGCCCCTTATTGATCACGAAATGGACCTATCGATACCTACCTAGGTATTTATCTGGACTTGACATCCATCCCATCACTCCGGGTAAAGAATCTCCTCCTAATTCCCACCACTCCGCTAAACACTCACATTCGTAGGACCATCGAGATACTGCCCATACTCTTCCCATAACTCCCCAACGCCAGCCTCGAAAAGACCCTTCCAGAACGCGGTACCCTGTTTGTCCACATACTCACCCTCCCCTTCACCAACATACCCATCCCTCAAAAGTCGATCATTCAACATCCCCACAGCGCCTCTCCCAACCCTAACATCCTCAAGCCACGCGAGAAAATACGCCGTGTGCTGATATCCCATATCCCATTTCGGCGGCCGTTCCGCGGAAGACAGAGGACGTTTCCAATGCGGCGGTTCCAGACCAGCCTTGAGCCGCACAAAGTCAGCTATGCCTTCGATCAGTCCGCCTGGCGGATGCGGGATGTCCCCGTCACTGTTTTCGTGGGCACTAAGCGGCACCGTGTGTTGATAGCAATGCACAAGCTCATGGGTCAAGACTCCAACAAGCTCATGGAGCGGGTCATCTTTCGCAGATGGGCCCGATGTACAGTGTTGGATGTATGGCAGCGAGACGTGGATTTCCTTGTGCGCGTCGTCGAGCTCTGTGCCTTTTGTGTAGGCTACGCCGCTGTAATCGCGGAGGACGACTGTTACAGATCTTGTTGATGGAACCTTGGGTGTGAACTTGGGCCGGTGGGTGTTGTTGGACTTTGGAGGTGAAGTATATAGGTACTTGATGATGTTTGCCAAGGCTCTGTCGAGTGTTGATGCGACGTCTGGGATCAAAGCGAGAAAGGCGCTTGAGGCTGGATGACGTAGCTCTTCCACATGAAGACGGAGCTTTGGCTGAGGGATTCGTAAAGTACGATTGGAGGCTAAGCCTTTCTGCTTGTCTTCTTTGCTCGAGACCTGTAGCTCTTGCTCTTTGTTGCGTTTGGGAATTGCGGAGCTCATCATGGCTTGATCTGATTGATTATCTGATTGATTATAACTAAATGGAAAGAGATTTTGAAAGCTTTATCTCCCTACATCTGTCTGAGGTGCATGAAGTTCTAGGTTTTCTGAGGCGGGGGTTCGAAGAGCCAACGTGATGCTGACGAGACCAGTATTCGGCTGAGACGATCTATACTAAAATGTAACTGGGTATACCGACTATTATAACTATAAAACCGGAAACATTAGAGCGTCTCATCTACAGAGATCAACTTGAAGTTTTCAGTCTAGTTTGTATGTTGTGGCACCCTCAGCGCCGATGATCCTTAACAGGCACCATGCTCCACTTTGACGATCTCGTGGGGATACTGGGACGCATTGATTCGCATTGATTGGAGAGAAAAAAAAGTATGGAGTAAGATGTAATCGATTGCAATTGGGTCTAATCTTCATTTAAAGCGTGTGAGACAATGCATTGAAATGTACAACATGATCATCCAAGAAGGTAAGTACACCTTTGATTACCATGTTCATCCTCTGAACAGAAACAGGTAAATCCCCGACTTCAGGTATTTGAACTCCGCTAAAACTGTTTTGTTTTTCCTACAAAGAATTGACATTGAGCTGTTGGACAGATGACGCTGTGGGTTGCCCATTGCGACAAGTGGTCCCTAGTTAATAATCAAACCAGCGTTGGGCTCTTAATTATGCATCGGGCACAACTTCACCATGCCAGACGGGTGTAGATATAACTAGACAAGAGGATTAAATCCAGGTACGTCTTAAACACCAACTTCCAATAAAAAAGTCAAAGGGCAACCCCTTTTAATGTCATACATCCCTCGCGCTTATCGTCACGCGCTTATCGCCCCTTGTTTTCACTCCGTCCGCTTTTCAACATCCCACCATATCGAGGTCAACTTTGCGCTTTGGCTGCTCTTCCTCATACTTGTCTTCGCTACATACTTCATCTGATTCTGTACGTGACCTTTCCACTCCGCCTTTGAATCCTTCACGATGTTCCTCTTCATTCCTTGATTCCCAATATCCCGCACCCTTTTGCGACGATCGCATCCTTTAACCATCCGATGCTTTCACTACCTACACGCGTTCATGCCATTTTTTTTTCTTTCTTAATCGCAATCGCCATCGCAATCTTTCTGCTTTTCTGTCCATTCCTCACGTGCGCTGGTAGAATCTGCTGCTAATTTCCATGCCTAGTGACAGATCGAAATCCGTGTCTGATCTCCTTTCCGCTATTGGCCTTGTCGCATTTTGAATCCCCGGGATCGTCCATTACATACTCTTCCGTTCTTCTGTCCATTTTCTTCGGTGTCTGACCCGAGTTAACATTGATCTCTCGGCTTTGACAATGGAGGCGAAGGCAGCGGAGCTACTGGCGTCCTTCAAGAACCCCAACTTGTCCGTTGATTCCAAGATCGCCTACCTATCTAGTGTCAAGTCCGATATCAAACAGAAAAATGTTCCAGAGGGAGCGATTCACACTATTTTCGAAACATTACGTCTCGCCATCGGCTCCCAGCACTACTCCGTTCTCGGAGCGGGGTTTTCCACACTTGGCCATCTCCTGAAGCGCCTTGCAATCCAAGACCAGCAGCAATGGATTGTTCACCAAGCCCAAAGCTTGTATCCTATTCTCGTGGAGCGTCTGAATGATCCTAAAGAACGTATAAGAGCCCATGCCGCATCAATATTCACCGAACTGTGGCAATTTGCAGGCAACGAAGTTGAATATCATGTTTTGGAAGTTGCACTGGTTGGGAAAAATCACAGGGCGAAAGAAACGAGCATGCTGTGGTTGGCAAATGTAGGCTTATGCACTCCGCAAGGCTTGTTTCAGCTACTAATCTCGACCTGCAGATGACGAAGCACCATGGTTTGTTGTTCCGTCAATATGTTCCTTCCCTGGTTTCGTGCTTAGAGGACGCCGACAGTGCCGTTCGAGATACGGCTAAGTTGGTCGTGATCGACCTGTTCCGGTGGGTGGAGCTACTTCTCTAACCATTATCTTCATGGAATTTCCCTAACCAAACTCAGAAACGGCCCAGCAAGAGCGAAATCTGATCTGCAAAAGCAAATGGCGTCACGCGGTGTGAGGAAATCTATCGCAAATGCTATCCTCTCAGGCATTGGTCTAGGGTCTATTGAACCAGACACTGCATCCTCTACGCGTCCAATATCTCGGGCCGAACGCTCGATTTCGGTGATGTCGTCGCGTTCACATGCTATGGAACAAACTGATGATGGTCAGTATTTCGATTCGATTTTTTTTTGGAGATTTGCGCTGGTCATACTAACTTCCGAGCAGAAATGGAGCCCGCAAAGAGCCGCCCAGCTTCTAGAGCTCAGCGTGAGCGACTGATAACCTCTTCCGTGCCCACAGAGCCACCATTTGTCAATCGACCTCGCACACCGGCCCCGGCACCAGCACACCAGCAACCCTTGCCAGACGACGATGGTCTGGAACCGTTCGATGTTGCCTCGGCGAGGGATATCGATGATCTTGTGCGCGATATGATGCCCTGGTTCGAAGGAAAAGAATCAGAAGACAATTGGTCTAAGCGGGAAAAAAATGTGATGCTTTTCCGCAGATTAACTCGAGGAAATGCGCCACACGACTTCTCGCACACCTACATCAATGCAGTAAAGACACTACTGGACGGTATCTTGAAGGTTCTTAATTCTCTACGAACGACAATGTCCAGCAACGGCAGTCTTTTGATACAAGACATTGCCCGGACATGTGGCCCTAGAATTGACTCAATGGTCGAGATTATCATGCAGAACCTGTTGAAGCTTTGCTCGGCGTTGAAAAAGATTGCCGCCCAAAACGGAAACGCCACTGTCGAAGTCGTCATTCTTCATGTTTCATTCAGCACTCGCCTCCTGCAGCATGTCTCTTTCGCAACCCAGGATAAAAACATTGGAGTGCGTCTGTTTGCCACAGGGTGGCTCAAGGCTTTGATCGTCCGCCAAGCTCATCATAAAAGTACAGTTGAACATGGTGGTGGCCTTGATCTCATCGAGAAGGCGATTATCAAAGGATTGGGAGATGCGAACCCTGGCGTGCGCGAAGCAACGCGGAGCACCTTCTGGACGTTCTACGGTGTGTGGCCGGAGCGAGCTAAGGTGATAGCAGACACTCTCGACCCCAAGTCGTGGAACTTGCTGGAAAAAGATTCATCGAACCCCAACCCCACTTCAAAAGGTGCATCTGCATTGCTTGCAAAGAGCCCCGCCAAGAGTCGCTCCGCTCTGCAAGAAGCTATCGCTGCTCGGAAGAAGGCCCAGATGACTTCTCGACCCGAGTCGGCTCAGCCAATCTTTGCCGAAGCGAGGCCATCTGCTCCTGCCTCCAAGTCCGCTCGGAGTGTTCCAACTGGGGCCCCTCTCTCGTCTCTATCTTCTGCGCCTATGAGACCCGCCATGAAGCCTCGGCGGGCAGAAATCAGTCGTCCTGCAACTGCAGACCCCTATGCTCGTCGCCCCGAGTCACGAGCCCAGTCTAATAGTACTAGATCTACTCGACAAGCGACCACCTCACCCAGAGCTGTGCGGTCTAAACCATCAACACCTACATCGAATGCCCCTCTAACGGCGCCTCACACTCGTCCACACGAATTGGCACAAAATGCTACAACGAAGGGCAGGCCGAAGAAGCTCGATTTGTCCAAGTCCAAGTCTCACAACGATCTTATGGCCGCAAGTCGTGCTCACAGTGACTCGAACGAGAGCCTGGCCAATCAGCCATCTGCAAGAACCCCTCGTCACGGAAATTTCCTCGGTGTATCGGAGGACCAATGTTCGCTTGCATCTACTGCGTTGGAAAGCCCTCCACTCAATGCATCACAGCCTCTTCTGCACTCAGCACCAGATGGCCCTCATGCTGACTCAGTTCCTGTTGAAGACCCAGAGCCAATGGTACTGGAAGAACCTGTTGTTTCCGCACCTCTAACTCATACCCCCGAACCAGATATTGCAGTGTCTCCCGCGTCCGTGTCTCCTGCTCGCAAGCATCCAGATCTGGACTTTGGCCCTGATCCTGCATCTATGGCCAAACCCCAACCTGACGCAATGGTTATCTACGAAGATCCCGCCACACCCCCCGCAGAAGTGCATGCAACTCCTGCCTACGCCGCCTCAGCGGGGATCTTTACCCCTCTCAAGTGGTCCCCCAGGCACTCGGATAAACCAGAACTTGGTGAAGTAGAGGCTCAACCTATCTCCGAGGATCTCTCAGCCCCGGTGGTCGCTCTAGCTAAGATGCCTGCACCCGACTTGGCCCCTAGGCAGGAAGCTGGTATGAACTATGAAGTTCGAACTCCGTCTCCAACACGCCGGACACCGCTTCAATCAAGCCCATCACCAACGAAGGTCCATTTTCATCCAGCGGCTTCTAACATCATGGATATTGCGGTCGTGCTTCCCCAGGAGCCCCATGTGGCAAGGAACGGGACCGATGGCAACAATGAAAATGCGACTCCATACCTGGCCAAGACCCTAGATTTGCCTGCTGTCCCGCGGTCTGCGGCTAAGCCGAGTGCTCTCGAAGAGGTGACGGCAAACGAACCTACACCGCGTTCGCCAGAAGCGAGACAGAAATCGTTTGTGTCGATACCTATGTCACTCTCCCAGTCGACTTTGTCTCAGTCCACAATGTCTGAAGACTCCCCACGACGCACTCGAAAGTGGACTGATCGTCACCGCAGCCCTAGCCCGCGTTCGAAAGACCCGGCCAATGCCACGCAAATGATCCACAAAGGCCTCGCTCGCATTGTCTCGAGAACCATGGAGCCCTCGGGATATCGAAAGCTACAGGGGCTTATCCAATACCATGGTGACGAAATTGTGTCTCAAAGCCAGGACTATAATGCGTTACTGGAAGCTCTATTTGTTGAATTGGAAGCTATCCCTCTCAACCGCAAGGATCATGACGTGAAAACCCAGGTTTTGGCCACCATTCGTTCCATGCTTTTACGGACCCGCGAGCATTTCCACCCCTATGACACCCGCGCCATGGCAGCTATTATCCGGGCCCGCCGCCACTACGAGTCCACTTCCCACTTTGTCACCTGCCTAGAGGAAGTGGTTGATAAACTGGTGTTTTTGACCCTGCCCCAGACGGCGATTGTCGGTGTTCTGCAGGGACTGGATCTTGAGGCGGACGCTGAAAATGATGAAACGTACCGTTCCACAATCATGGGTCTGAGTGCCATTCAGCAGTCGCTGTCGCGTCCCGGTGTTGATATCGACGACGAGCTTCTAGCTCGCATCGGTGCAGTGGCGATGCAACAGCTCGGACACCCGCGCCCCGGTGTCAGGAAGAATGCCACTGAGCTCTGCACGTTCTTGAATATCACTTTCGGACCCGAGCGGGTGCAAAAAGTCACCCAGCCTCCTCGTGAAGGATCCCTTAATCTTCTGACCTACTACATGGCTCGACGGAGTCAGTAATTGTTTTTTTTCCCCTATCCGTTTAGGGTTACATTTTTGTGTGCTTAATTACCCTCGGTAGCGTGGTGGCATGTCGGGCCATGGGGGTTTCGGTGTACATAGGTTCTTGATCCATACTTCTTTTGAAAACCCATGTGTATGTCTAATTCCCTTCCGAGATATGAAAACTTTTCGATTCGATTTTCTCAACGGTTGTTGAGCCGGCACTTGTCCTGATTGACTCCAAAGCGACATTTATCACCTTCGGGTATGGCCAGATCTGTCGTCCATCACGCCAACCCGGGCTTTCAAAGGCAACTTAAACTAGCCACTATTGCGACAAGCCTTCGCCTACAAATTTGACATGCACAAGATATACCCAGTTAACAAGAGATTTAAGGACTCTCTTTGTACTAGTGTTGACAAGACGGTATTCAGGGCAGCCATAAACAAAGAGGCAAAAGCCTCGTGTATATTAAAGCTATTGTGCTCCAGATCTCCGAGTTCGCTTTGGCATATAGACAAAGACGACAAAGAGGATCTTTGAGGTCAACTAAGGCACTGAGATTTTCGGAGCCGATGTAAATAGCCCTCGTGGCTATATAAACTGTCCTTTCCACCTTGCAGATAATACATCATCAGCCTAATTCACTAGCATTCTTATTATACAACCCAGTGAGTCTCAGTAGAGCCGTACCATACCGTCTCGCAATCATGAAGTTCGGGAAACCTGACAAGGATCAAAAGCAGCCTCAACGCTTCCCACTCGAGGTAGCGGAAGCCTTTGAGCCAGAGGACGATCTTTTCCGTGCATTGCACCGAACTGGTTCTCCCCCCGGCACTCTCCTTTGTTTTTTCCCAGAGGCTGCACCCAGCACAAGTCTTAACCAGTTCCGTTTCCAGCTCCACCGCGAAAACGGGGTTCAGCCCGGTCTTATGGGTTACCTTGAGAAGTATATCAGCGCTACACACTTGGTTTGGAGCATGTGCGCTCTTCTCGCAGATAGTGGTATTGATCCAGATTGGACAGATGCATTTGAGGTGTGGCGCCCACAGTGGAGACAATTCGCTAAGAGCTTTGAAATCCATGGAAATACCTTGCGCACTTTAGATGTTCCCCCCTCGCCAGTCCGTATTATGTGGATCCAGGCGCCTAACGGTCTCGATACGTATACACTTTATGCTGTAAATCATCAGGAGAAGATGCGTGATCAAGATGCTCTGGATGATCTTTGGAGGTGGATGCTTGACGTGCCGCCTGAAATGATTGTTCATGGGGTTTATACCATAAAGCTTGGGTTCGAGCCTTGGTTCCCTGGTGAGTAGAGATCTATTGTCTCTAGTAGCGCGTGCTGGGAGTCGTTTACTGCGTTGCTGCATTGCTTCTTTCTCTTTTCTCGTGGGTCTTTTGGTGTGCGATCTTCGAGATGCTTTGTGGGATTGGAACAGACTAGAAAATGTCGATTATGTCCTACTTTGAATTTGAGGTGGTCTTGTAGGCTTGCTGTAGCAGCGTGTATAAGTGTAACATGGTAGGGATATGGCGGAGTACTGATGAGGTTTCATGTTCGTCCGCTTTGAACGCGGCTTCTGGCTCGTATGCACCACAGAAGGGCGTTGGGTTTTGATTTCGATGTTCTTACTACAGAATATCGCTAGAAGAGCTGTCTAGCCCTAGATCACCTAGCCGACTCTCAACTTTTCCTCTCTACTAAAACAAAGCCTGCCTTATGTCTTGCAATCTTTCCCTGCATAGAACGGAACCGTCATGTCCAATTTTCCCAAGGGTTGTTGGGATATCAGAGGAAGGTCCAAATCCATTCCTATATGCTCTCGGTTTCAAGGGTAATAGTTGATGTGAGGGAAGCCAACGACTTCTAGAAGCTGCCGGGATGATATTCTCACGTTATTTTTGCTGGATCTGGTTCTCGACTGGTTGAAAGGCAAAGTAGAGCATGTTGTCCAAGCTATCAGCCCTTCAAATATGGAAAAGAACCAAGAACTTGGGAGAAAGTGCTGCGCGAAACAAAGCCTAAAGATCTATCATTCTAATGAAGTCTATCTTGACGTGGACATGGAATTTGTACGGAACTCCGCATGGGTTTCGTTATCGCGATTGCATGGAGGCGATCTCTACAGTGAAGAATTTCTTGTGCGAGAAAACTTTCCCCCTGAATCCTAAAAAAAAAGAAAACAAGGGAGATTTCCAATACCACTCGCGAAAAGAATGTATACGTGGTAGGAGACAGAAGAGAGGGGAAGGAAACAATGTCTAGAGACGTGTATTGGTTGCTTTGGCCTCAGGCTCCAACCAGTCAACGACGATGCTTTTGTCATTCGAACCGTTTCAAGCCTTGAAAAGAACATCCTGGCCATACCATGATTTTCAAACATGAACCAAGAAGGATCACTATGTGGGGAATAGACTTTCCATGCTATGAGATTGGCTGAACCGTTCCCAGCCAGTTGGTGTATTGGTAGCGCGAATCCAGTAGCCGCCAGATCCATTCTTCGTGACAACAGCCACAGGCGCTATTGTGAGATTCCATGTGTTTACAATCATCGGATTGACGAATAAGACTGACGGTTTTCGGCGGTCAACACTGGCACCGGAGAAATCAAGGCTAGCATAATCAAATGTTGTCCAGTGGGATACCACGGCAAATCCTAGGTTTCCAGTGCCACGCAGCGCTAAAGTGAGAGTCTTGGTTGTATGGTCTTCTGAGAATCGAAGATTCTGATGGACAGATCCATGGGATGTATACTGCAGCGTTGTGAGGCGTATATCCCGTGCAATCTCCGCAACTGACTCTTCTTTCAGCCGTTGAACAGAGAATTTACACCGCAGGGCACCAACGCTACAACGAATGTAGTATGTTCCAGCTTTCGGGGGCTCAAGAAAGCGACGAAAGTTGATGATCCCAAAGTAGTCCACTGGATTAGGGGATGTGGCTGTCGGTTGAGATGAATAGACGGATTTAAGGTACCATGCAGCGATCACATCATTTCGTGTGAGTTGAATCTCAGGTGCACAGTCTTTCAGCTCCCCCTGGGATTTGGTTCGTAATTCATCGACCCATGCGCCTGGAACGTACAGAAACTTGGTTGTAAGATCCTCAAGGAATCCAAACTTCATAGCAAGGATCGTCCGCAACACGCCCGAAACCGTCATTGCCAGATTGAATATCCCACTGATGTAGTTCTGTGCATGCCTCTGGTAGTGGAAATTGGGTTCCGGGTCGGTGCACTCATCGTTGGCTTTCATCAGATCGGACATTCGGACATTCCCAGCATCAGGCGGAAGAGCAAATACAGGAATTGGCTGATTCGACAACAGATCACAAAATGCTTTAACTACTTCCCAGCAGTCATGGCCATCACAAATGTGATGCGCAATTCCAAAGCAGAGCAAAGTAGCGTCTTCTAGGAGAGTAACACGAAGGCGGAAACTGTTGGCGAGGCCGGGAGAGACGTCGAATATGAATGTCTCATCCACGACGGATATTTCCGGGCTTCCTATGACAGTTGGCTCATTGCTATCTTGCTCATGATGGATTGGAAGATAGGTGGTCAGTGACTGGTCAATTTCCCTACTTGCGAAATCGACAGTATTACCACAGGTGAAGGACCAGGGCTTTGTCTAGAAAGACAGATGTTAGCAGGCCATAGTGGTGGTAAATTGGACTCACATCTTTGATCAAAGCACCGCCAAGTATTGGCCATAACCCAACCAACTCGGTGAGTTTCATCCTCAAGAGAGCTGAATCGAGCACGGTATCGACGATCATGCCCGCATAAATGGTGCTATGTTGTCCTAAACAGCTGACACTCTTGCAAGTGTATTTTGACGAGCTTAAATTTGGACCTTCCATTTTGAGATTTGATAAATGGTGAAAAGGCTCCGAAGAAAAGAATCCAAGGATAAGAATCTTTCCTACGAGGACCCTTTTACTTCGCTTTCCGTTGCGAGTAACCTCGGAGTAAATATAAATCATCTCGGGAGATTGAAGTTTGAAAGTAGGATTTACCCATTTGAGCTGAGAGTGGGACATACGTAGCACAGCCTAACATTGGGGTTACTGTGATTCAGCAATTACGCTTGTCGTCTTTTGCAGATTATATCCTTTTCTATGGCCCAGCAAATCAAACCGGGGGGGGCCTTGACCTTAGCCATGGAGAGGGAAATGCTAACTTTTTGCGATGCAGACCTTAGTCATCTCAGCAGAGTACGACGAAGCTGTAGGCCAGTGGACAATTTTCCTCGCTCGCGGCAATGGGTCCTAACGCACCCTCCGGCCTCGTCATCTTATATGGTGTACCGAACACTCAAGCGAGCCGAAGATTCCCTCCTTCCCGGCACGAGCATCTTTCCAAGGCAAAGTGTACCATGGTAGCCAGCACCATGACGCATCAGAATGCGATATTCGAGGCAAGAAAGTGATTGTCGTCGGGACTGGTAACAGCGGTCATGAGATTGCGCAGGACTGTCATGAGAGAACGGTGGAGATATCACTATGCTGCAGCGTAGTGGAACATACGTTATAACGGCTGACCAGAGTGTCTTTGTAATGCAGTGGAATGCATGAGGATAGCGGGTAGGTTTTCCCTATCTCCCATCCCACAGCTTAACATCATATTAACACTACTCGTGTAGTCCACCAACCGAAGAATGTGATATCGCCTGCGAGAGTCTCCACTGGCCTTTTCCATTCGCTTTGAGTGTACACATGACGAAGAAAATTGCCGACACTGGAAAGGAGACCCCAGACGGACTCCGTCGGGCTGGCTTTGAACCTACTTTCGGGATAGATGGGGCTGGTATTGCGCGTGCATACTTGACCCATGGCGGGGGTTACTATCTCGACGTTGGATGCAGTCAGCTTATCATCGATGGCAAGATCAAGGTCAACCACAACCCGGGTGAGACCAAAGGCTCTGGGAAATGCGAGCTTCTTTTGGCGAACGGCAAATCCCTACCAGCGGATGTTGTTGTCCTAGCCACCGGATACGATAACATACGCACGACAGCGAGGAAAGTCGTGGGTCCCGACGTTTGGGATCTGAATGCAGAGGGAGAGATTCAAGCGGTGAGTTTCCATTATCAGTGAAGAACTCCGCGCGGACGTGTTTTTGCAATGGTCCCCCAATTTGTTGGATGAGTTCTACTGCAACTTTGATACTACAATTTTGGCACCGCAACATATGTAGATTCTGATACTGGCACACACTCTGATATTGTGTCATATCCCAAACGGGGTGTCGTACCACAATAGCCTCTCGGTTTCTAGCTCTTCTTCATATGTATCTTCTATAAATGCATCATGAATAACAGATTGCACATCCGGGGACGGCTGTGCGCCATAAAACAGCTTTGTAAACTCCCAATATTCAGGATAAAAGCCGGCACATTCCCAGTCCACAATCCCCGACAGGCGCCCACGATCAATAAGAATGTTTCTGGGATGCAGGTCGGCATGGGTGAACACAGACCGATACGGACGCGTGTGGACGGCCGCAATTTTGTCCCTTGTCTCGGTGCGCACGTGTTTATGCACAAGAAAGGCATTGAATTCCGAAATTTGGTGAAATGGACCACATATCCCGGAAGGGAAACGGTAGTCAAATAGCGGGCCGCCATGACTGTCGCCAAAGCGGTACAAGGTCTCGTTTGGAATAGACCGTAGTTGCGATAAAACACTCTTCAGGTCTTTCGACAGTTGCTTACGCTCCGAGTATGAGAGTCGATGGAAAACAACATCCAGTGTTTGTCCAGGCATAGCCGTCATGATGAGAAAGCGGTGCGTGCCCTGATACTCATCTACCTGAAGTGGTGCGGGGATCGAGGTATACCGTTCCACAAGCTTTAGTGTCTCTCCTTCATTAGCAGAGCGAGTGCATTCTTTTGCGTACAGTCCGAACGGCAACTGGTGCACGAGGCCAGTGAAAGACCGCGGGTATAGATGTCTGCCTAGTTTTAAGAGCACGCCGTACCACTTAGCGCGTATCAAATGAGGTACAAGAATCCAGAGTGAGCGTAGTATCTTCTGGGTAGCTACATTGAATTGGACTATCCCAAGTGACCAAGTTAGCATTACAGTTCTATTTTAAAGGGGTTTGTTTGTAACATACACAATGGGGGCGAGGGCCAGCCCTCGGCGATCCGTTCTTCCACATGGAACAAATGCAAGGAAGCTGCAAAGCGGTAGTGCGTTCGTATCAAGAAAGGATCTGGAAGAGGACGATTGGCGTCTTGGCTCTCCATGATGAACATTTGCATTGTCAAGTCCCAGCGGCTGCCATCGCTGAGAAAAAGCCAACCGCAAGGCTCAGGCGATAATCTGGACACGAAATACTGGCTCAAAGTTAGTCAGAAGTACTAAGCAAAAGGCAATGTTCTGAGAAATTCTGACATAAACTTCGCTGGCGGTTTTGAGTTTGGCCTCGGTCTCATCATTCCACTGGTCTGGGGTGTTAGTTGGTGGAAAGAGTCGGATGTGTCCATTTCGAAAAGCTGTATGAATGCTGGGAGATAGCAAGAATAAATTTTTAAGTTGAGATTCCAGGGTATTAGTCCGCAAAATGGTCTGAAGTTCGCATGTTGTAGCCGAGGTCAAAAATGCACGCAGAAGAGGATAAAGAGGGCCCTGTAGTAGTTCGACAGTTGGTTTCGATTTCGGATTTTTCGTCTTGCCTCCAAATTGCCCAGTAAGCACTTACCTGCGGATCCATGTCACTGTCATCAAAAATGCTAGGTGGGATCACCCAGGCATGATCGAACCGAAGGGATACGTTGGGGTCCGATGGCTTTTGATCCAGCATAAAGCAGTGTGAATTCTCTCGAGCTTCAACGAGTTTGCGTGCTTGAGAAGAGACTTGATCTCGCCTGGCTACTGAGATTATAGTTAGCGGAGACACATGAGCCAATGTAGACGCTTGGTTTCGACTGACGCTTTGTAACCAGGCGCTTCCAGTCAGCTTTTAACTGATCCAGGGCTTGCTCTGTAGAACAAGGGGAATTATCGTGGATCTTTTCCCAGATATAGCAAGCTGCATATTCCGGATCGACGGCCTCATCCAGAAAAGCTCTCCAAATCGAATGCTCAGTGGGTGAGAGCCGGGCGGATTCAATGAGCCGGAGAGTTTTGTGGTATCTCTCTAGTGGAGCCATTTTGAAGGTGTGAAAGGTGTGTGTAGGTCACAAGATTCATTAACGTATAAACTATAGCCTACTTCTCTCTGCTTTTAATTTGACGACGTGAATGGGGTCGAAGAGCCAACGATGGGGGTTGGGGAAATGTGGAGCTCCTTAGAAGCCTGAGGCCTGAATTGCAGACCAGCCTGCTCGACCCACATGTACTAATTGTATCTCAGCTCTGTGCGGTACACCAACTTATATCATCTTTCACAATTGAATCAGATTTCTTTTTGCATTTTACGCTCGTTCTAGCTAGTTGGTTTTCCCTTATTGCTGCCTGCAACTGGTGGCGTCATTACATGGCCCTATAACTAGTTACCTCTGCGAGTTAGCGCCGTTCGCCTCTTCCCGCCCAAAAAGGAAACGGCTGAGCGCGTAGTCAAGCTGTTTCTGCATACATTAAAGTATGCCTAGGTCCAATCCAATAGCAACTTCTTGTTTTTCTTTTTAAAAGTTAGAGGCGTAAGGTCTATCCAGTTGGCGCTGTTGGACCAACTGGAACGCGAATCAAACAGAAATCTGCTTGAGATCCAATGATTCTTCACATTAAGCGCCGTATGCAGACCTAGGGCCACCGTAATACTCAAAAATTTAGTTGAGTGAGTGCACGTATAAGGAAATGCTGGGCCTGCTCTTAATCCTTTTGTCACTATAATCTTTGCTACAGAAAAATACAGCCTTTCAACTATAAACCTTCGACATGTCAACACCAATATATCATCCTAGCGGCTTACTGGGGTCACCGTTTATATTTGAAGAGAACGGGCTTTATATTCTTCTGTCCGATCGTGGTGACAAGAGTTACACATTCCACTGGGGCCTCTATCTACATCAGGCTACAAGTTCGGGCTTTATCTATCATCTGGTCAATACGGTCAACTCAACCACTTGGCGCTTCGAGCCAAAACCAAACCAGAATATTGCGAATTCCCAGGGATTGCTGGTGGCCCTGAAGATAGGAGTACTGGACTCTTGTCTCCACCAGCATTTCCTTGACCGTCTCTATCAGGTTCCAATCGCCGACTCAGTCCGATTCCGCGAAAGGATCACCTGTCGAGTATGGCTCAAAGAGGCACTCCATGCGTTGGATGAGGAAGGCTATATCAAGTTGACTCGGAGTGTCAATGTAATCGAAACCGAGGCGACTACCCTAGCGATCCAGAACAAGAGTTTGGGCAGGAGGATGGTTGCTCGAAGCAATGGAAGCCAAGTTTGATCTCTGCGGCATTGGAGAATATCACGTTGGAACCTCGGTATGCTCTGTTTAGGTTTCATGGATAGCCACTCCAGTTCCACTGAAAATTGGCTTACTTTTCGAAATTTTGTCATGGGGACGGATGATGGAGTACATCTATTTGAGTCGAGAGCTGAGAAAGCTCTATCCATCAATATATGGCAAGGAACATTTCATCTCCAGGCACATTGGGGGGCGTGAGATACGTATCGTGGCTGTTGAAATGAGGAGTTTACTTCAGGATCACAAAGAGTCATTCTACGATCTTTTCATCTCTTCAGCTTCTGTAGTGAATATAAACTTATGTATAGATGAAATGTCTTGGTCGAGTTGAGCAAATAATGAGGAGAAGTAGGCGGTACGATGTGAGCGCAAGGTGGTATTCAAGAGAGTGAAAATGTAGTAATTAAGAGATCCGCTACCACCAATGCGCATATGACCCAAGGGAACAGGACTCACGATATGTAGGCGACTAAAAGTCGAGGCACTGTAGAATACCGTAATTAGCGGAGAGATATGAAATTGAGGATTCTATCTATACTCTAGGAGCATACGAAGGTGGTCATCTAGTCATCAGCTGAACAATCTTCCCTCCGCATGGTAGTGATCCATCTAGTTGTTCTCCCTCGCTCACGTTGATATCCCAGGGATCCATCGTTCTCTTTTTGGGGGGAGGCGACCTTCCTTTAGTGTTTGTAATGACGTGGATGTTGATCGACTGTAGCGTTGGGATATGTTTGGGGTAATTTCATCTTGCACCCGCCACATGAGGCGTTGTTGCTAACCTTCCTAAAAGAGAACAACAAGCCGGTCACGTGACCGGCATTCCTGTCAACCGGCAAACGTATCCCCATCAGGCAGTCGACAGGCAGTAGACTAAGCCACAACCTACGATCGATACGCATCGGCAGATATCTGCCTTCTGTTACTAGAGAGCCTACGGAGTAGTTGGCTAGCGTTCTGCCGTTAGCATTGCATGAAAAACCCGGCAACAATGAGCGAAAGAGGGTCGGAAATCGTTTACCGGGCGGAAAATGTCCCGATTCGCTTCTTTAAGGCATGTCGATGGTGCAGAAGACAAAAGATGCGATGTGATGCGTGTAGCCAAGTCCCTTGTTTCCGCTGTAGGTCTACGGGCCGGGACTGCATTTTAGATCCCATCGATGATGGCCGACGACGAGGTGATCGGCGGCGGAGAACAACAACCTCGGCAAGGTGACAACTGGAATATATCTTGCACATGAAAGCAAGGAACTAATATACTGTCACAGAAATCAAAACACTGCTTCACCGCTGGATCCTAGGACCGGTTATCACACTCCGGCATCAAGAGATCAGGGGTTCTCACCTGCCACAGTGCAAGATGGTGGCTTAAACACTCCGATTGACTCTTTGCCCGATTCTACTGGATTAAGCAGCCTCCAGCGGTCCTACAAGTCTGATACGAATGGACCGGAATCTCAGCAGCTCAGCCCTAATGAAATGATAGCGCCTGCATCAGCGGTGCACTCCATGTCTGTGAATTTGCTTGGCACTAATGATGTGAGTAGCAGTCAGACCACTTACACGATTAGCATCGATCTAACAGAGCAAGATCTTTATGGAAAACTCTGGTAAGGGTGACCCTAGAGGAGATGTCATCGGCAGAGGAATCGTTAGTGAAGAGCTTGCTCGTGTCATGTATGAAAGGTGTGGTACCAACAGCCAAATGAAACTGCATTCAATCATAGTTGAATCTAATACTCTGCTGCAGGTTTACAGGTGGATCAAAAAACTTTCTTCCACTTTTTGATCCGATCAGGGACACATTCGACTCGGTTCGTTCAAGATCCTTGTTTTGCTTTACGGTGATTATCTATCTCGCTAGTCGCGCAGTGACAGATTTGCGCAGAGACACGCATATGCAGCGTGTTCTACAGGATGAAGCACAACGTTTGGCAGAAGACAGCTTCTTCGAACGACCCACCAAACTAGAAACTGTCCAAGGAATGATTCTCCTGGCCGCTTACTCCGAAAAGACATGGTTCTCTATTGCTCTCATTCTTCGCACCGCCTTGGATTCTGGGTTGGAGAAATCTTTGGACACTTTGTTGTCCCAAGAAAATGTACCCCGAAGTTCGCTTTCGGCTTCTATGGCTGAACGTGAACTGGTATGGAAGACTAGGACCTGGTTAATCACTTTCATCTTGGAATTGGACGTTGCATCTGGTACAGGACGTAAATCACGCATTGCCGAGGTCGACGTGGTAAAGCTGCGCAGGTTCCTTGACTATCCCCTCTCCCTGCCCTGCGATATGCGTACAGTGTGTATCATTGAGCTTCATCAACTTCGAGGTAAAACGAAAATAGCCGCAGGTGTGATTTATGTGTGAACTAACTAACACCCGGCAGGTAATTCTCGTGTGATAATTGACAACACTTCAAGTACTAGCGATATTGTGTCCACAGAACTACCGGCCATTATGACAAGATTGCAAAACTGGTGGACGACGTGGGATGAGATCCATGAAAGTAAGCTGTCCTTGCTTGCTTTTAAAACTTCCACAATTTAGAGCATTTCTGACTTTGAAAAAACTTGAAGACAATGGCTTCCATATAGGGGCTTTTCAACGCAGCAGCCTCAAGCTTATGCTTCACTACGCCAGGATTTTTGTTTTCTGTGCTTCACTGGCACGGATTCAAAAATTACCACCGACGTACACGGACTCGGGCACGGAAATGCTCGACCAGGATGTGATGGACCTATGGCAGTCCCTTGTGACGACCATCATGGAACAATTAAGTTTTTTGATTAACGAGCCATCTTACCGCTGTCAATTACCCTGGGCGCCAACGTATCCAGCTCTCACGATCGCTTTCATCAGTAAGTTGATCACTTCCTCATTCAGCTATACACATTTGCTAATAGATTTAGCAACATTCGCTCTTCGGATCGCTAGATGGCGTCCGAATCTGATCAACCAAGGTCTTCTACTTGCACGAGCAGAAAGGATCTGCGATTTCCTCAAACAACCCCCATATCCCGATATCCACCGGACTGTCTCCATCTTCGTGAACTATGCACGCGCCTTGATTGCCAGTCAGCGTCCACAGAGTAACCATAGTACGGATTTACCCATGATGTCTCATCAAAATGAGGGCCCAATCTTCGAGGGAGCTGGTAACCCCATGATCAACGGGCCGCCTCCGTCGGAAGTAGGTCCCCTCGACGATCTCCGCTACAGAACTGGCTCGACCATTCAGGCTGGTAAAGATTCGAATATGGTCTCGATGTCAAGTAATGACCCATCTGCGGTGGCTCGAGCGCCCGTATCTCGGCTATCCGGCACGATGGAGGCACCCAACTGGACTGTATCGAACTCCATTGCAGATTCCTTTGGTCTGTTTGAGGAAGGGCAGAACGATATCTTCGATTTCTTGCCTATGATGTCATCGATACCATAGTAATAATATCTCATCTTCATTTACCTTGTTATATCGAAGTGTGAGATCACTCATGTCCCACTGTCCAAATTGAGTAGATCGCGCAAGGGCCAAGTTCTGGCCTCGTAGACCAACCCTGCTACTTGTACCAGCGAATAACAAATTAGGCCGCAACGCGCAAAGTAGTAATCTTCTTTGTTCACATGTGTTCAGTCTCATCAGTCTAGATCTCCACTTAAAATGGAGTTATAGCAATCAATCTGTGTGCATCGGGGGCAGCCATCGTTCGGATCCTGCCCGGCACCGTTGGCGGATTGCCCTAAACCCCGGTCCCGCGCCGGCCACGGTTCTCCGCGCAAAACAATTGAAGTGTACCAGTCTCTCATTGGTTTTTTTTCCCTACTTCAACTTGATTGATAGAGGCATAATGCAAGACCAAGAGGTTCTAGGCATGTTGAGTCAAAGAATCGTCAGGATTTTCACTCCGGGTTCTCTGGGTGCAATGGGAACGGAAACGTTATTCTATGGCTTATATAGACCTTCGGTCCTCACCTGCCGCAGCATTTTAGAAATAGAGTAGAAGTACGCTTCCAATCTTCTTCCTCTTTGTTCTAGCTTACCCCACATTTGATGGTGCATTATGGCATCAGAAACGAAACAATGTTCAATGTCTCAGATGGCCGCCATTCTTTCTTCAGGTGCAATCAGCCCCGAATAGATCTTTACCGGGTCTGCTCTGACATGTACTAGACAGGGATAAGAGTTCTGATAAGAGACCTCTTGCTTCAACGGAGAAGAATCAAAGTTCAAATGGCGATTACCAAGTAGTTGAATTGTCTCAAGATCAACTACTTGTCGAGTTTCAAGAGAACTCATCAAGAAATCCACCAAACTGGGCCTTTGTACGTACATCTAGATGTTGCCAGAGATTTCCCAATACTAATGACATCTCATAGATGAAAAAGGTTTACAACGCAGTTATCGCACTATTGATTGTCCTTAATAGCGGCATATCATCTGCACTCCCTAGTAATGCAGTCCCCGCCATCATGCAGGACTTCCACGAGTCCGGAGACCAGCAGAAGGTCTTACCAACTGCCGTCTTTCTCATCGGCTATGTGGTTGGACCTCTGCTATTCAGTCCATTGAGTGAAACTATTGGCCGAAAACCCGTTCTCGTCTGGTCTTTCAGTGTTTTCGTCCTCGCTACCCTTGGGTGTGCTCTGTCGCCTAATTGGTCCTCTCTTCTCATCTTTCGGACCATTTGTGGTCTTGCCGGGGCCGCTCCGCAGACGGTGGTAGGTGGTATTTACGCGGATCTGTTTTTTGATCTGCGAAGTCGTGGTCGTGCGATGGCGATGTATATGTCGGTAGGTTGTTACCAACTGGGTGGAATGTTGAAATAGTACTGATGCAGATTCCAGGCTTGCAGTTTTGGTCCGATTTTAGGCCCCATTATCTCCGGGTGCTCGGTCCAATATGGCTGGAGATGGACTTTCAGGATTGACCTGATTCTGACAGGTATTACTTGGTTGGCTCTGCTCTTCACGTCTGGTATGGTTGATCGCTTATTTCAACTAAATGTGCCATCAACTAATCTCAAATTTAAATAGAAACTTTTGGCCCAGCACTTTTGAAGCGACAGGCTGCCAAGTTGAGAAAGGATTCAGGATCCAAACGATACTTCTCGCGTCAGGAGCTCAATCTGGACTCGAGATTCACTCTGGTGGAAAATATCACTCGTCCCATCACAATGCTCTTCTTCGAGCCTATCATCACCTCCACCGCCATCTATATCGCCATCGCATATAGTCTGGTATTCTTTTATTTCCAAGCCTATCCCATCATCTTTGGGGGTAATACTCTACCTCGAATTCTCGCTGATACATGTAGAAGACTTGTAACTTATTGGCAGGTGTCTATGATTTCACCATCGAGCAAACTTCCCTCACATACATCCCAAGTACGTCCACCTTTTTTCATTCATATGACCAAAGGCCTCTAACCCATAGTAGTTGGCGTAGGCGCAGCATCTTCCGGCTTCGTCGCTCTCTCCTACGACCTGATCTACGAAAAAGCCAAAAAGCTCAACAAAGTATGGACCTCCAGCCCAGAATACCACCGACTCCCTATGTCCTGCATCGCCGGGCCCTGTCTAACAGTGAGCATGTTCTGGCTCGCCTGGACAGCAAAGCCCACCGTGCACTGGGCAGCGCCTGTGATGTCAGGGTTCATCTTTGGGTTCGGATTCCAAACCATCTTCATTTCACTTCTTACCTATGTGACCGATGCATACAGGATTTACTCTGCCAGCGCCCTGGCAGCTTCGGTTATTGTGCGGAGCATTGCTGGAGCGCTTTTCCCGCTGGCTGCTGAGTCGCTCTATAACTCTTTCGGGGTTTCTTGGGCTACTTCTCTCCTTGGGTTTGTAAGTCTAGCGTGCATTCCGATTCCGTTTGCTTTGGTGCGCGGGGGACCTTGGATTCGGGAGAGAAGTCCCTTCTGTCAGAGGTTGATGGTGGAGGAGAAACTCAGGGCTAATAGGTCGAAGACTCCTGCGCGGGTATAGAGGCATTGCTTGACACTTTTTGGCTTCAGGTTTCGAGGTGCTGGTTTGTCAAGCGGGGGATGATTTGGTATCATTGACTAGATACCTAATTCATATTAAAGATTCTCATTTGTTGTTTAAAGAAGTACCCCCGTAGTGGTGCAATGAGTACATCCGTGTGCTCCCGGCTGTTATTCCCCCTGTTCGCCGAGAGATGCCATGAAACAGAGTCACAGATAGGAGGCCAAAAATAAAGAATAATCCCAAGATAAAGAAATTGTAGCCAATTTTCATCAAGATTCAGATCCCATAACCCACACGCTAAATTGGAACTTCACCAACCAGAACGCCTAGTTGCCTTGCGGCTTTGAAGATCATCTCGCCTCTCCACTTTCCAAACAGCCGGAATCGCATCTTGGTTTTCCTGGTTCATTTGATGTATTCATCTTCACATTGTACTCGCATCTTGAAGCTAAAGGTACTTCGATTACTATCGCTCATTGCGAGGCACAGAAGCTGCCGGTTGGTTCGCGACCCCCCTTTATTCTCCGTATGAGAGTACTAACGGGACGACGGTCAAGTCGATCGCATTCTGGAGCCTCAGACCATCGGAAATTTTCTGGAATTTGCGTTCGGGGAGCCTTTGCCCAATGGTAATCAACCCAGCGTCGAGCGCCTATCCATAGAGGAGGCATCATTCATCCAACATGATCAAAACTTTTCCCCGGACTCCGATGGCGAACTCATCATGACCAACATTATGGCCCGAATTGGATCTGAACGAGATTCCACCTGTCTCTGTATGGTTGGAAAGAACATCCAATCCCTTAAATCCCGTCTATGGGAGGGCATCATCCCACTGAGCAACCAGTTATGGCTGGAAAAAGGGCTCAACCAGCCCGAATATTTGGATTTCACTTGTCAACAGCTAAAAGCCGTGATCGCCGTGTTTCAATATTTGAATGAACCAACCGTACGATTATATCTTCGCGACACGTTCAATTTCATCTATGATCATGGGGTGGCCCTCGATACTGTTTTTAACAAGCGCAGAACGGGGCAAAGTGGGAAAAATCCCGTCAGTGTCGCAGGTCTTTGGACAATGTATATGACAGCGCATTTTGAGATGATGACTGAGCGTGCCCATAGATGGGTCACTGTCCATGTCAATATACTCCGAGCTCCGTTGCTGCGAGCCCTTTTGGAGCATCGGCCACCGGGAGATGGTGGCCTGTTAGGCCAGCCTGATGCTTTGCGGTGGAAGCTTGCTGATTCACTGCACATACTGACAGAAATCACTGCCAATGCAGATTTCACCATCATGATCCCCATGGATGGTTACAAGGGGTGCTTCACGGCTCCCCCGCGGGACGGTCCAGCAGCTCTTCATGCTGTGAATCTGCTGACGAGAAGTAAAGCATACCATGAGCGCTTGAGGCTGCTTACTCGAGCAGCCATCCTCCGTCATGTAACAGGTCCATGGAGAGATTTAATTCCTTCGTCCGGAGGTATCATGTGACATCTTGCAGCCAAATTCAAGGCCAGAACAAATTGAGGAAAGAGGTGCGTGGTGCACCCATTGAACCTGTTCCTCGTGAGCCTTGAATTGTTGCCTGTTCCACAAAGATGGAATCTAGACAGAAGGAGGGAAAGGAGGGAAAGGAGGGAAAATACGGGATGGCTGTGTATCGGTTGACCTATGGGCAGACGGACTCTGAATGGACAGAATTCGTTGATAAAGTGGAAGCTCATGTTTCGGATTGGGATAAAGGACACGCAGGAAGCAGCGCTATCAAAGAGAATCTCACGTTGTATTGGTTGGATGGGACGAAATTGGGTATTTCCGAAGGCGATGTCGATGCATCAAAGGAGTGGGTGTGCTCGTTTCCTCTTGCATTTTGAAGCTAACAAGTCAATCAGAAATTTCAAAAACAGCAGCGACGACTCGTCACAGCTAGAAGACGGCGCTTTTCTTGTCGTTGATTCCGCGTCCTTTGCCTCATACATGACCAAATCTTACAGTCCCGCGACATCCCAGCTCATTCCTGGTGAATTTGCCGGCTTCCTTCTCGCCGTTGATCCAGAATTTGACCCAGAGGAGGGCATCACACGACCCGACGAGTCTCCAGGCTACAACGACCAGATACGAATCCTCGGAAGCCTTGTGTGGAGAGATCTCTATTCCCTACTATGTTCGCAAACATCGTACCTCGAAGACCACTGGCCTTTAGCAAGTAGGTAG